TCCACAATATAAGTGGTGCTGGAGAGCTTATGTATTAATATTGCAGCAGAAGCACCAGTATAATTTCACTGTTGTTTTTTCTTGTTGTGGCTTCTATATTACTTTTGCATCTGTCTTAAAAATATCTGGACAGTTTGACAGGATTTGTACTTTGCTATCATTTGGTAAAAGCCTTTGTAATTCACTTTCAATTTATTTAATTTTCTGTCTTAACACAAAACTTCATGGAGCTGATCTGCTATTTCTACACTGCTATTACTGCACTGCAGAAAATCATAAAATGGAACATAGTGTAAGCTCAGACAGTTTAAAAGAATTTGTGTAAAAATAAAAAGAAGTAACATACCAAGTCTGCCACTCTGCACAGGCTATCTGAAAGCTGATCAAAGATCATTACAGTCTCAGGCCCAGGTGGTGTTGAACACGCCTTCTGGACAAGCTGTTCTGATTCTTGCAATGCTTTGTCCTGTGCTTCTTGAAATCCTTCTGGACAGTTCAGTTCTGGAACACCAAACAGACCCTGCAGTGCAAAACACAATGAAAACATATCACTATTGCCCTCCTTGATTTCTGCACCTTTGTTTCAAGACTGAATTATCACTACAGAATTTTACCCAAATGACCCCAGCTAGTACACTATAACACTTCACTGGACAGCAGCACCAGATATCAATAAATTGCAGGCAACAGGACAGTTGTTTCAGGCTTACTAAATGAACCCCCAGTACTGGAAGCAGACCTCAAAGGAATAATCAACAGCAACTGAAAATGCTTGTGGAGTCCTGAAGTTCCTATCAAGTCTGGCCCTGTCCAACAAGACAATGGTAAACACACTTATTTGTGCCGGGTAAATGCAGATGGCACTTACGTTCTGTATTTGTGGAAGAGACCTAGAGAGGTTCTACCACTGATGAAACAAAATTACTAATGCTAGCAGATAGAGAAGTTCCACAGTACAGACTTACAACAGAAAAATTATTTCAAAGAATCACAAAATCCCCTGAGTTGGAAGTAATGCCTAAAGATTTTTGGGTTTTATTTATTCTTCATGTATTTGTAGCTTTGTAGACTGTTACCACATAGTTATAACTTCTAGTACTTTCCCAGATCTCTTTCTCATAGTTAACAAACTCCTACTGATGCGTTCTTGAAATTCTGTTTAGTCTTGCCTGCTAGTTTAGCAAGGACACTTTATTTTGCACCATGTATCATAAACATAATAAAATGCAGAGTTAGAAGATCAGGAGAGCTCAGGGGGGAGCTCCAATGGGGCTGAACCCAGAGGGGAAATTATCTAAACCAGCTGCTCTTCTAATTGGACAATATTTGATAGGTATATTAATCAACTAACCTTATAAAAATGTAGAACTACAGTATCACATGTACATATCACCAGTTGTGCAACTTGAAGGCTTTGAATTAAAGATTTGATTTTACATTATCATATTAACACTGTTTGGAAAAACTTCGTGTTTTATTCCACATGAAGAAAGGACCCATAAGGATCACCGAATTCCAATTCCTGGCCCTGCATAGCACCCTCCCCAAGTCACACTGTGTGTCTGACAGCACTGTCCAAACACTTCTTGAGCTCTGTCAGGCTGGTGCTGTGACCACTTCCTGGGGAGCCTGTTCCAGTGCCCAACCACCCCCTGGGTGAAAACCCTTATCCTAGTAATTCCTTAATTTCATTTAAGTTAAAAGCAACATCTCTTCAAGCAATACACTCCCTTTGCAACTGCCCAACTATAACGTGAGCATCTCCTCACTCCCTGACTACAGCATCAAACAGTGAAAGGTATGTGATTTCACACAAAATCTATCCCTTCCAAATTCAACCTCAGTACCTAAAAACCACAATCTGCATTTTCAAATTTGCAGTCTAGTCAGTTTATAATCCACTTTCTGCAAACTCTTTGTATTATTGTAGTCAGCTGCAGGTTTGCAGCTTGCTAATATGTATTCAAATAAAAAGCTACAAATTGACAGCTCTTCTGTACAAGTCTATATTCTGTAAGTCTTCAAGTACACATCTGGAACATTTTGGTTTGCTTTGTCCTATTTTCTTTCTGTCACTGTTGCTAAAACGACCTTCTCTTTTGGTAACAAAAGAAAACCTTTCCTCACACTTCCCATGTTTCAATTTGGGAAGAGGAACAGGACTGAAGTGAACACTGAGAAAGGTACTTTTATATTTTTACACATGTGCACACAAACATAAATATACTTGTACCACAGCACTCTTGAATAATGTTTGCTGTGTAAGACACTCGAGACTGCCCTTTCACTCAGATCCTCAGCCAGAGGATGCACTGTCCTGCAATATCCCTGGGAGCTCCAGGTCTTTCTGCTGTCCTACATCACCACCCATCCTCCCAAGCAAGCTCTTCCTGCACATGTAGTGCTCCGTGACCAGGATGTATCTCCTCTTAGAGATAAATTAGCTGCAGAACTCCTCTTACATATGATATGAAGTTTAGCATAAAAAATTAAAAATCCCCAAAAAATGAAGCCTGGTGTAGTTTTCTCTGTTCTTTAATGTCATTGGATGCATGGCTGAAACATTTCTGTCTTCACATGGTCTCAGCATTTACATCCTACCTGGCACAGCCTCTTAGTGAGCCTGAAATAAGCACCTCTATTCCGAAAGAAGAGTGGGCCAAGTGAATGACCTGGAACACATTCCCTAGACCAGCCAAATGGAATTTCCTGAAGCAAGGATTATTTCCTGAAGCAAAACTCACACCAGTGTGCTCGCAGAGGCATGAGAACCTGAAGAAAGGTTTCCCAAACAAGTGCCAGATTATAAACAGAGGTCAGATTTGTCCTCTCTAAAACCCAAAGTTCAACAGCTCCACCAGGCTGGGCACCATGGCAGGAATAGCTGAGTCAGCAGACAAACACCTGGATTTTACAGCTGCACCTATTCTGTATGCACTGTGCTACCTTACCCTCTCCCGGAGCCTGTTGATTCCCCGGACACACATCAACGAACATCCTTGACTCATCCTAAAAAGACACGCATCAAAAAACCCAACAGTGATCAAATCAGCAAAGAAATCTTCTTTTTGCCACAGGCAAGACACCAAGTATACCGCCCGGGCAGGCGGATGTGAGCTGCGCGGGCGCTGCGGAAGCACCGTGCGAGGCAGGGGCACGGCAGTGACACATGAACGGCACGGCCGGGGAGGGCTGAGGGCTGCCAGGGGAGGCGGAATTTACGGACCTACGGGCACCACTGAGGTGCAAAGCGTTCCCACGCACAAGGCCATCACTGTCAAACGCTTCTGTGTCCAAAAGCCACAATGCTTGGGTTTGCTAGAACCAGTATAAACTCTTATTAAAAAAAATAAATTACCCACAAGAGAAAAACTGCCCCCCAAAAAATCCCCTTACAACAGTTCAGACAAGCAGAACAAAGCATGACGCTGGCAGCGACCAGGGCTCCTGCCGCAGCAGGCCCGGCCCTCCCCTCCCGCCGCTCACCGTGTCCCTGCCCGCCGCACCGCCGCGCAGCGGCTGCTGCTGCTGCTGCCTCGCATCGAACGCGGTGCCCACGGGGCACCAACTGGTGCTGACGGCCCGGCCGCCCTGCCCCGCCGCCCGGCCCCGCAGCGCCCGGCCCAGCGCCGCGGGCAGCGCCCGCCGGCAGCCGCCCAGCATGGCGGAGCTCAGCGCGGCCCGGCGCAGCGGGCCCGGCACGGCCGCGGCCTCCGCACGCCCCGCTCGGCCGCGACCTCCGCGCGTCCGCGCCGGGGGGAGGAGCGGCGGCAGCAGGCGGGGCGAGGCGGAGCGAGGCGGAGCTCCGGGCTCCCGCTGCCCCTCAGCCTGCCGGCGCCTGTGCCCGGTTCTCAGCACTCCCCGGTGTGCCCTGCTTCCCGCTAGGCGCCTCTGCCCCCGGGCTCTCAGTACTCCCCGGTCTGCCCCGCTGCCCGCCTCACCAGCGCCTGACTCCCCGCACCGGGGCTCTGCCGGCTGGTACCCGTTCTACACGTTTTCCAGTTAAACTTAAGGCCCTTTTAAAATGGTTTTTCGATCTGGATGTTCCTGTGATACAAACTTGCGGCGTGTGGCTTACGGGAAGAAACTTCGTCTTGCTGAAAAAGTCACATAGCCCTTTCCTCCGCCTGAGTGCCCTTGTATCCCCCTCGCTGTCATTTGAGAAGTGCAGCTGTTCCTCCTGAATTAACCCACCGTGCCCTTTCCATTGGGCTCTGTGATCCCCACTCGGGGTTTGACTACTGTGGGAACATGCCCACATTCCACTGGTACCCTGAGGTGCTGATGGGAACCAGGCCGTAAGCTCCTAACACTGCATTTGCACTGAATTTCATGATGCTGACCCATCTCCCTCGGCACCTCTACTTTATTCTCTTCTAAGAAAAGTGAATGAGACTTCCCAATATTTTTTTAAATATCTTTGAGTTTTAGAAGAAAAGGAGGGAGAGAGGGAGGGGGGGGAGAAGAAAGAAAATTTGGGAGAAAAAAATGAGGGAATTTTTATTATATTTTATGTCCTGTTCTATGGTATAGGAGGTAACTCTTGATCAGTTCTCTGGCATGGCTGCTTCAGTGTTAATTAAATATTATCTTTAATCTGGGAGACTTTGTTTTGCACCAACTAATTATGAAGTATGGCAACTTTATGCTGTATTTTTGCACTGGTCTTGAATACCTGCCCACGTCAGAGAATACACATGGCACTTCCTCCTATCTCTCCATTTTGCTCAATTTCAGACCTGTGACTACACAGAGAGCAAAGAACAATATTTTAAAACTGTAAATGAAAGAATGAAACTTGCTTGCACCACACAGGAAGTAGCTTCTGTAGAGATATCAAACTACACTAATTTCAAGTTTAAAAATAATTTTCAAGGGGCTGGATGCAAACTAACCAAGTTTCAAGTCCATCTACACGTGCCACATTGGAAGATATAAACTGGCTTGGAAGTAATTGTTGCTTCTTCTTTGTACAAGATATCCCACACGACATAATTCCAGAACTTTTGTCTTTTATTTCATCCCACTTTTCTTTAAAATTTGTTCTTGAGAACTGGGGTACACAACCCTGTGAATGCCTACAGTAACTCACCAAACCACCAATGTCCTAAGCCCAGCACTGTAGATTCTGAAGATTTGTCCTCTCTTGCAGAAGCTGTTCCTGAAACCAAGCATTTTCTGTTGAATCCAGCAGAACTTGCCCAGCAGATAACAGCTTTCTCAGGGAGGGCTGAGTGGCACAGGCATGCAGGGCTCAGGGATAACGCGGAGCTACGGCGTGGGCAGCAGCAGTGGCTCCAGCGGGTCAGCGGTGCTGAACAGGAGGAACCCAGAGAAGGTGGTATCGTCATCGCCATCTGCAAACAGCCCATTGAAAGCCTCTCCTTGGTGGGCCTGCAGCCACACCTCATCTCCTCCCTGCAGCTCGAGGATGGTGGCTCCTGAAGCCTGGTCCTCTCCGCTCTGGTACCTGTCCACTGTGTGCAGCATCTTGATGCCGTTCTTAACGAGAGCTACTCGCACATTCCTTGAGTAGACGGTGATGTGGTAGGTGAAATAGTAAACACCGGGGTGTTTGCAGGTGAACTTGCCAGTAGCTGAGTTGAAGTCATTCAGACTGTTATACAGCACCTTGTCAAACTTGATCGGGCGATTCGGAGGGGGAAACTTCGTGTTGGCTGTAAGGCCAACACTGAAAGCACTCCTTGGCAGGACTCCTGGGGCACCTATGTTCCCCTTGTCTCCTCTGTCTCCTTTCAAGCCTCTTTCCCCCTGAACTCCTGGATTACCCTGTGGCCCTATACCTCCAGTATTACCTTTAGGACCTGGATGACCAATTGGGCCAATCGGCCCTGGGAAACCAACTCTTCCAGGGTGGCCAATTTCACCCTTTGTCCCTTTTGGACCTATAGGTCCAATGTCTCCTTTTAACCCTTTTTGTCCTTGCAGTCCTAGCTCTCCCTTCTGACCTTTGTAACCCACTGATCCTATAAATCCTTTTGGTCCCAGTTTCCCAGGTGGTCCTCTTTCTCCTTTATCTCCTTTGTTCCCCTTCTCTTCAACAGTCCCATTGGTTCCTAAAGGGAAAAAAAAACAAAAACAAAAACAAATAATAATAAAAATCAAAAAAACCAACTTCACAACTTTCTTGTGATCCTCCATTGGAAGGCACAAATTGAGGTTCATCTTGAAGAGATACATGTGTGGGTGCGCATCTCCACTCTGCTCACTGTACAGAGAGTTTCTCATACATTTAAGTGCAGGATAAGCATAATGTCTGAAGAGCCTGTTATTTTGTTAGAAAGCAGGTGCTCTGGCTGGCAGCAGCAAGAATAAGCTCAAAGAAAGGAAGGTTTTCTATGGGTTGATGATAACACTGACAGCTCACATCATGTCATACAAAAGCAACATCTGTCCACACTTTTTTACAGCCTTTGGTGTACAGAATGGATGAGAGAGTTCACAATTTAATCAGAGGAGGAGGAAGGGGTTTTTTTACAACACTCTGAACTTGACTTGAACTCTCACATGTTTCTATAATTTCTTTGTATAATTTCTACTTTTGTTGGGTTACATAGGTTGCTACTGCAGCACAACTAAAGGTGTGTTGTCCTGGTTACTTGCTACCCTTTGCTTTATTTATCCTTCATCCATCATTGATCAGAAGATCAAAGCCTTCAAAACTGCTCTGGTTGCTGCACAAGGTTTTGAAGGTGAAGATCTCATGATGTGAAAGGCACTTTTGCAGTTGATAGACAAAAGACACCATAAAGAACATAGTTCAATTCATCAAGAAAAGAAGCCGATCAATTCTGCTCAACAGCCTTTGGCTTCTCATGTGAAGAATAATGCTGTTTGTACAGCTTGTTGTTCTCAATTTAGAAATGAGAGAATTTAATATAAATGAGATTGTATGATGAGTTCACAAACACAAGGGCAGCAGTTCATAGACAAATATTAAATTTAAGCACTTCTCTGACCTCGTTCACCTTTCTCTCCATTGACACCATCTTTTCCTGGACTTCCAGGAATTCCTGGTTCACCTAGTACAGAAATAAAAACACAGATATTAATTAAACAAATTACCAGAAAATTTGGGAAGAGTCCATCTTTACTCCTTCCTTCTCAAGCCTGGCCAAACAGTAATGTAAAGCATACCCTTATTCCTGACTTTTAGTGTCTGCCACTGCTGGTAGCTTTATCTTACTGCAAGATTGACAAAGAGCAGAGAAACTGCTTGAGGATGCTGCTTTTTGGGTGCAGAAGGAATCCTTGGCATAAAGAGGTGAGTTATTGAGATATGTACAGTTGTTATAACCTGGCGAGGATCACCAGTGTGAATATGTCTTCTCTTGTTGCCTCCATCCATGGAAATTCAGCAAGAAGCATTGCTGGGGCAGGAAGCCTAGCACTTAAACAGGGATGTAGTTTAGTGGTGGGCCTGGTGGTGCTGGGTTAATGATTGGACTAGATAATCTTAGAGGCCTTTTCCAGCTGTAATGATTCTATGATTCTAAGAATGGTGAACTTCCACCTCAAGAAGAGACGTGCAGGAGTTTGACCAATGGTAATGGATCATTACAGTGGAATAATATTGCCTATAAAGCTGAGGAAGGCATTCACACTCTTGGTCCCTGTACCTAGCATGACATGGACTTTCCACTGCTCTACAGAGAGCAATTATATAAGTGATTTTTGTAGTACAGAGGTAGTACAGATGCCCAATAGGTCTGTGATCAAATAACTGGATACATCCCGAGTGTAGCAACTGAATTAAAACAGAGTTGGCAGTTTGGTTGTAATCATACTCCAAGAGTAGCTCTCCAGTCATATGGACCAGAGAATAGTTCTTTATATAAGTGTTATATGTCCACATGCCTGCAGATTTATCACCTTGATATTCCAGCATGGATACAAGGGCCATCATTAACCTAAGGCTTAAGGTATTACGGGGGTGATTAGCTTTAGAATGCTGAGATTATCTCTGGCTTTAATATCTCACATGAATCTCTATTATAGCCTGCTGGAGCAGAAATAAATCCTATATTCTTGTTCAATACTCTCCATTTCTGAATTTATTCCAGTGGCTCTTGAACTACAGCAAGTAGGCACACTCAGAATCAAGTCCTACAAATGTATAATTTTGATAAGAAAGAGAAATTTTACCACTGCATACTTCCTAGTACACCAAACAAGGTATCAGTTGTTGCTTTTTTTTTAGTAGACTTGAAGCTCCTTGCAGAAATACAGTTTCTATCTTAAAGGAGTAGGAGTAGGTTTGCAGGCTTTAAAATTTTCAAATAGACTTGAAAATACTCCCATGATAAAAGGTAAATCCTTTTTTTCTTTTGTTTTTATCCCATGAACCTGACATCTCCATAGTATTTGCTGCCTTGCTTTCATTCAGCCTTTCTTTGTATTTCCTTCTTCAAACAGGTAAATGACACATGTCGTAAATGGTTTATGAAGGCTCGGCAGAACAATCCCATTCATGCAGACTAACTACAGAGAAATTAGGGAGTGAATGGCCTTGCATTCAATATATTAAATCATTCATTCTGAACATAGTACCTGTATCTCCCTTGTCTCCTTTTGACCCATCACGTCCATCACGGCCAGGAATGCCATTGTGCCCAGGAGTGCCAGGGATGCCAGGATACCCTTGCGTGCAGACATCCTCGTTCTGTGTTTCTGCTGTGCTGACTACAATAGCCAGCAGTACAATCCAGCTTTTCATTCTTTAGATAGGTTATATGACTTTGGCTGAAATATTTAAGAAGAAAAAGTACATCTGCCTATGTCTACCTTAGAAAGGAATGCAGGGTGGTACAGGGAGGAAAATAAGGAAATGGGTTTTCACCATGTCTATTCTTATGTTTTATTTATAAATCTCTCTATAGCATTAATTACAGTGCCGGAGACTACCGAGTGGTAATTTAAATAATTATGTAATGGGCATATCAGTTCTGGCATCATTCTACTTTTGAAATATTAGCTTTACACAATTCTACCTCCACATTTCTCCCTGCACCTATTTGTGACTGCATAGTTGTACCTTTCATCTCCCAGGAGATGGTGTCATGGGAGATGAGCTAAGGAAATTCAACTCCCTCATTCAGCACAAAGCAATCACTTTTTAATTATTTTTCAATTGCTATTCACTCAAATTAGTCCTCTACTAGGTTAATAAATTGAATGACCTCAGAGGGGGTTAGAGCTAGAGCAGAGTGAGAGGAGGGCAAAAGTGTGAGGGATCAAGATAATTTTTTTGGCAAAAACAAGTGTTTAGTTGGGTGGTCCCAATTCATGTAACTTTGCTACTGAAAGTCCATCTTATATTTATCTTTTCACTACAGAGTCCCTCCTATATAATGTCTTTTAATATAGGCCCATTGAAATACATTAAGACTTAATCCTGGACACAGCTGGTTTAATTCAGTGTAAGCGCAATTGATGAGAAGAGATTAGACTGAAGAATAAAAAGCAAATAACAACAAAATTAATACCTTTTTTATTTGGAATTAATGTCCATAAATGTCTAATGCACAGAAGCTTCAACTATATAGATTAAGTACTCAAACAGGTAAAAGTGATTGTTAGTATAAGTAAATTTTACACAATTGGCTTTGGAATTGGTCCTTTTATTAATAAGGAGTATAATCACTACTTCTTTTGCAATATTAACTAGCATTAACTAAAAAATTATGTCTTCTCTTTAATACTTTCACCACAATTTCTCGTTCTCATGAAAAAATGCACACAAGTATGAGAGACACCAGTATGTCCTCAATAAGAATAATTACATCCTTAATCTAATTTATAGAGTAAGACTTTAGCTTTGGGACATGTTCCTTAATCTTTTTATTCTATGTTCAGAAAAGTCCTCCATTTTGAAACCGTTATTATAAATTATTTATGGGGTCTTTGCCAATGGATTTACTCAGAGATGTTTGATCACCAACCAGAAAAATCCCACTTTGCTGCATCTGGTTGGCACTAAAGAGAGGTGAAAATAGATAAGAAATTTGCTCCTTCTGAGGTATATAAATATTTGCAACCTTAGTCAAAGGACTCCGTAAGAGTGCAAAAGGAAGAAGTGCTCTGAATGACACTGTTAGGTAATGATGCATCCCATGGAAAAGTCTGACAGTCTGTGTCCACTTACAGAAAACCCCATTCCCAGCTGTCTAGGGAAGCATTTCCTGCCTAAAGAGTAGACAGTGTTGTTGGCTCCCATACATGCACTCCTCTCCACAACCTGACATCAACATCATCACCATGTATATAGGACCTTTGTACTTACCTTGTTCACCTGGTAATTGCAGTGTTCTTGGGCATCTTTAAACTGAGTGTAGAAACTTAGGTAAAGGAATGCACACTCCAATATGTGCCTTGAGGACAAGCACTTGTTTGGTCACTAAACTCTCAAAGGTCAGTGAAGTCACTAAATTCTCAAAGGTCAGTGATTTAATTTTGAGAGCTGTTCAATAATTAAAACAGAGGTTTAAAGTGGAATCTTTCTATTTATTCCAATATTAAGCTGAAGTGCTCTGTACTTTGGCTTTTACCACTGTTACATAAAAGGAAATCGTTTTAAGGCTTTGATTTCCCTATTCCTTTGTACAAATACATCACACAAATGTTAGCCTCTGACAGCTTGGATGATTTGTAGGATAGAAGGCATGTCTGACATTACTATTGTGCTGCTAAAATATGTAATGAAGGCAATTTCTGAATCAGGTAATTTACAATGGATTTAGGGACAAAGACTAAAGAAATTAAAACAAAAATGCTGAGAATGCGGCATTATAATTATTAGGTGATTATGGAAAATAAGGAACAAGGTTAAATTAAAAATAGAATAAATAAATATAATTACAAAGTTTTTAATGTGTAATTAGCAGGCTCCATATCTAGCTATTCAAGCAACAGGAAAAGCTATTGGGCTACTAAATTATGTATTAGTGGTAACTAATTTGAAAAACGCCATAACTCAATTTTTAACTGTGTCTTCTTGAAACTACTGGAACTGCTGTTGTCTAAGGACTAGTGGAAGTCAACTGAGCTTATCATCAACTCCCTAAATGCTGATCAACAGTGAAGGATAAAACCAAAAGTAACGAGAGTTAATGTGTTAGAGGAAGTGGCCTTAATTCACCCTTCTTGTTTCAAGCGACTGCAAAAAGTGTCTGAGGGTGTCACCACACTGCAAAGATGTGACACGTGTGCTCTGCACACATCAAAGAACTTTCCCTCAGCACAGCAGAGAAACGAAGTTTTCTGTACGATCTGCACCACCACCCTGTGGCGACACCAAAACATTGCAAGAGTTGAGCTGGCCCCCCTTGAACCTGGGACATCGTGTCCACCGCGCTCTGGGGAAAAAGAGGGACCATGGGCAGCAATTCGCTGCTCTGCCTGAATGAACTTCTGTAGCCAAATTAATCTTGTTGCTATGAACAATCCTTTTCTCTTTACCCATTAAGCACCATCTGAATTTTTCTAAGCCTGTTTAGCCTCAGCCTCCTTTCTCACTTAAAAGTTTGAGTAATTAATAAATAGCCCATCCTGACAGTTAGGAATAACGTCATTCATTAGTTACTTATACCTTGATGGACTCTGCAGTTAGTCGGGTTTGATGCATTTTTAACAGACCAAGACAAACCAAGAAAACTGCTCTAGAAATAGCCCTCAGCTGCTTTTTAGTGCCTTGTCTCATCACAGAATAATGATTTGAAAATAATTACATGGGAACAAGAGTTCATAATTTGCTCTTTAAAAACATTGCATCTGAAAAGCAGGAGATGCAGAGATTTTTAGATTGACTGCTGTGCTAATTACCTTTGTTAGGAGATTAATATGACAGCAACGACCATGATGGTTAATTAGATATACCTGACCTTATTAGCAGAGCAGTTTCTAGACACTTTTTCAGTATGTCAGTATCTCTAAAGTCTGGGGTGTGCTTATAGGAAGAGGCCATGTTGTACCTGGGGCTCATTCTTTCCTCTTAAGCAGTTTCAGCTTTCCTGAAAAAAAATCTCTGGGAGAAACAGTTGATAAATCCTAAATCACCTTGTGTTTGGAGAGAAACTCAGCCCCTGAAGAGCAGTGGTACTCCTTCCTCTCAGATCTGTGCTTCTGAACTTCACTGACGTGACTCCAGCAATGCAGATGGACACCTTCCAACCTCTGCTTGTCTGCAGAGTGGTTTGGCTGCCATTGCAGGTGTCTCACTCTGAATGCTTAGAACATTAAATTGACTCAAATAAATGTTGTCCAGGTGTCAATCACATATACACACCCCCCAAGATGCTCAACAGAAATGTACTGGTGTAACGATGTAATGTAAACAGAGGGAAGGTGTGCTGGATGGGGGTCACTTGTCTGATGCAACCTGCTGTAGGTGCCAGCAGAGACATTTGGGGATGCCACATGGAGTCTACAAAGGAGGTGTAGGTGTAAACATAGGTACACACACACATCCACTCACACACCCACCCCCCTGTTTTTTAAAAACAGAGCCTAAATATATAATAGTGGCAGTAGGTGAGTTCTCAGCCCCAAGCACTGGACAAGTTCTGATTGCAGTGATTTAAGATAAACAGAGATTTATGATTAACAAGAAAAGTGTTGTGCTGACAGTTTATACAGTTTAGTCATATTCTTACAATTACATATCCTCTAGATAGAGTAACTAGATTTTTTAAAGCTTTTAGAAACATATTTATTTGTGTAAGGAGTATTTGTGTGCTTTCCTTACAAGCTACGTGGCGTGTTTTTCACTGCTGAGTTTTTCATTTCTCCTTTGATTCTGGAACATGAAAAGGCCCAAGTCCTTGTCTATGCTACTATGCACAGATCATTATGCAGCCTTTGGAAAAAAACTAAACAACAACAACAACCAAAAAAAAACCCCTAAGATAAGAAGTGCTATTTCTGTGCAAACTAAAAGCTCCATCTGATATATCAGCTCTCAAATAACTTAAAAGCTGAAAGTACAGAATGATTTACAGGATTTAGCCTGACTGCCCAAGCATGAAATAAAAGGCACAAATGAGCTCACCCTGGCCAGATGAACCACAGGGTCCTTAGAAAGCCTACTGATTGCTATATCCTCCTGCAATGTTTGCTTAGGGTATGTTTTTATGTCATCCAATCTATCTCGCTAAGTGCTCAAACTATGCCTTTCACTTTAATGTTGGAGCACTCAGCACACATCCCACCACAGCAGCAGCTGTCTTGGGAGGCAGAAACTCTCAGCTGTGAGATGAACCAAGAAATAGAAGAGCTTGGATGTTGGAAAGAGGGGTAAAGAATTAGCAAACTAACTACTGTGCCAGCATTTGAACTGGTCAAAACATTTCTGATGAAAAGATTCCAGCAAAGTATGTTATTTTGCTAAAGCTGGTGTGTCTCAGCAAAACACAATTTTTGACACAACCTGGACAGGAAGGACACAACACACCTTCCAGATGTGGCCCTCTGCCCTGTCAGAATAATGAGATACAAAAATCTTCCCTGAATCAGAGAAGTTGAATCCCAGCTGTGTTGCTCTATCAAGCAGGCAGGTAAGCCTGTTCACACTTACATGCAGAACATGCCTTTTGGGTGAACCCATTTAAATGGTTTTACTTTCCTTCCAAAGAAAATAAAATTAAATTCTCCTTACCTGCACTGCAGTATTTAAGTCACCATCCTCTGTTAGCAGGAGCTTTATTAGCACAGAAGCTATACCTGCATGTACTGCAAAGGGTAGTGTGTGAACACCCTGCCAGGACAAGGTAAAGCACAGTAACCACAGGCTGAGACAGCAAGTACCAGCTTTGCCTGAACACTGAAGACTTCAATACCAAAACCAGGCTTAGGAGTTGTTAAAATGAACCTGTGCTGGGAAGTACTGAAGCTGTTACTAGGAAAACAAGAGAGGATGGTGTGACTTTTTTCTTTAAAATACTAGAAGAAATATGACAGTTGATACATTTTTGCATCACAAAGGAAATTTTGTAGACAATAAAAAAAAGCACAACAATTTTAAAACTGCACATAAAGTTTTATAAGACACAGATCAAGAACTTCAGCTTTGTATATTATTTAATTCAACCATGTACAATAAGAGAAAAATAATAGGAATGTATGTCTGTACTCATTTCCAGAAAATAGATTCATTTGACAAACAACATTCAAAGAGCAAATAAACCTTGCAATGCAGTTACTCCAGAACAAATGAACATCAAGCTACTGCTGTCCTATACATTGTACTTCAGCCGTCAACAGCCAATTCCTCTGCTCTGCAGCCAGGACACTTCATTTACAACATGTGTAACAGCACACACGGGGTGAGATGCACAAAGCACGGTACAGAAGGTATAATGTTACAAAACACTTACCAAAATAAAATATATATGCAAGTTATCCCTAGTATTTACAACAGAGTTTTAAATTAGAGACCGTTTAGAAGGCATCTGCTACATACAAATGCCACACATATAGAAAAAAAAGCAGAAAGGCAGTCAGAGAAAGGTACTGTGTTAGTTATGGCTAAAGAACTTTGGCTCCAAAACTGTGATATAATTATTTCCAAAAGCCAACTAAAATGTGGAACATTTGAGAAGTCTGTCTTTGAACTCAGTTCTTACACTGACCACTAAAATTCAATGTGAAATTTAGCATGGCAAGAGCCACTTGTAAAACAATCATATTATTTTATACATCAAATGCTCTGAGTTGGATGCAATTATGGTTTGGCATTTCCTAACTCAGTGGGAACACATTTGAGGACAATTATATTTTACTGCATCTCATGCAAAAAGTCTGAGGTTATCTGCTCAGCAGGCCATCAGGAAGGCTCCGGCTGGGCTTTATCAAAATGAGGCACAAATATTCTTAGTAGTTGCCCTAGAACTTTTTATAGTAACTTAAAGCATGCAAGTGGAAAAGAACAGATGCTGCCATCACAGCTTTCTGCTATATATTAAGTTTTGTCACCAGAAGGAGAATCGGGCCAAGAGTTGCTAGAATTCAAACTTCTACATTTTAGTTGCAACTCCTTCACACAGACTCTGAAGTGACGCTTTGACTCCTGAGTAAGTATTTGTCTTAATTGTAGAATAATATAATTGCGTGTTTTCATTTCACTATAATTTGTTTAAAGACTATGACATAGTATAAATTTGGTCTGTCTTACTATATTTGATCTTAAATCTGTAGCAAGGTCATATTGCAAAGACAGAGAGAGCATTACAAAACAACTGTATCTATATGAAGGGTGCTATATGTAAAACTGTCCTGAGTAATCTGCACCATGAAATATTTTCTTTTTATCTCTTTGAAATTCACTTCTTGAGAAAAAACTTGCTGCATCCAAAATCATATGAAAACATTTTTGTTCATTTTTAGGGCTAAGGCACCAGCACTAATACATGGGAAGAGCCTTCATGGGCACTGACATGTCAGAAATAAGATCCCCAAACTTTTTTTTTCCAGCACCCCACAGAACCGAGTGCTGGAAGGAAGTAGGTTTCAGTGAAGACACATATGTAAGTGTGGATCTCTTAAGTCTTTCGGCCCACTGGCAAAGTTTCTGGGTGACCACTACAATCCAACTGCAGCCTTCTTTTGCACTTAGAACAAGTATTTCAAAATGTGATTACAAAAAACATCATCTTCACTCAAACTGTACATGCATCTCATTGGTTTACAGGCCTGAACGTGGCAAGTACCCACAAAACTGGGTATGTAAGAAATGCAAAAGGCTTACTAATTTGAGGGGAAGGGTATGCATCCATGCCTGTATTTGGAAGTCTGCTCCTTGTGTTTAAATTGAGCATTTACAATTATCTATTTAAAAAAATCTGAGCAGCAATGGCTGGCTTAAACATCAAGAGAAATATACAAGGAGCTTTTTTCACTGACTTCCCTGTGCATTTTCTTTCAGCTGGATCACTATAAATGTCAGTGTGCACTTATAGTTCTTAACTAGCTTAGGTCATTTCCCATTGCTATGGGAAAGCACAAGCAATGAAATCTACTATGCAGGGCACAATTTGGCTAAGCGTACCAGACTTTGCCTTATTGCTGAGCTATATACACAAGGCATTTGAAATGTACGGTTGTCAAAAAGATGTAATTTAAAGTCAAAACCACAAACCTGGGCTTTGCAGCAATGGCCACAGTTATGAAATCACAAAACCTAGTTACTAGTGGGCTTCACAACACTGATGATAAATAAAAATACGGAGGTAACAATAGTAGTAGAAACAAATACATCTATAAATAAGGCTTTTTTACATTGTTGTTTAAATGCCTGGTGTTTAGCCCCTTGTTTGTTTTTCATATATTACAGATCCATGAGAAAGCTGATTGTGCCCATTGTCAAAGAATACCCTTAGATCTACCCTAATCATCAGGTAATGCCCCTAATCAGCAGCATAGGATAAAGTATTGTAAAGACATTCATAGCAAATCAGTTCTGAAACATATTGAGTCTTCATTTCCTTCCATATTCCCAGCGGTCTTGTCATCCTTGATGAGAGCAAGCAAGCAGAAACTATGAGTGCGACAAATATCAGGATCCTCTTTCTTCCTGGTGCCTTTTTAGAAGTTATTCTCCCAAATCAACTTCATGCCACCCACAGAGGAATTGAAGAAATGCAAATCATGGATTGCATATATTGGCCAGAACTGACCTTAATCAAATCAGGTTCTTCCTCTTCCAATGGGGACTGATGACACCAAGACAAAAATTTGTCTCTGGTCCACATAATTTCTCTGTCCCTTCCAGTAAGGATTTCTCTTTCTTTTTGAAGAAGTTATAGGTCAAAACCCATTGTTAATTGAATGTGTACAAGAAGCATGGATCCAGACCACTTCAATATATTTACATGACAATTTATTCATTTTCTAAGTCCAGCTATATGAATAAAAAGCATGATATCTATGTAACATAGCCAGCCACACAGTCACCATGTACTGTCTCAACTCTGATTTTGTACATTCACATTATCTCTGTGAGAAAATAAAAATGTATTTTTTACACAGAGAAATAAACATATTGGAAATACAAAGAGTCTCCCAGGTGAAGAAATGCGTGAAAAAGCAATGTGAAAGCTCTATACTGAAGAGCATACATGCATGCATCTGCTCTGACTGAAATTAATCAATCTGAGATGCCCTGGGCTCCTCTTGCTTCCACCTGTGTGCAATAAATGCACATATCTTTACAATCCATTTCACACTCTGTTCATGTTTCTATAGGACAGAATAAAATTTCCCTGTTCCAATCTGGAATATGGTAAGGCCTTGTGGGATGTTGTCCTGCTGTTTGGCAATGTAATAGAAAAAAGACAGGAAGGATTAAGGTCCACTCAATTCTGCAATAGCTGGTTAATTGCATGGGATATCTCCACCTGATTTTAACGGGTGATCTGTGCTCAGTGCTCCAGAAGGAAGGAGAAAATTCTCTTAAGACTCCTTCCTGATACATCCCTACAGAAAAATTCCTCCCTATCCAAAATTTGGCTGTCAATATAAGGTTAAGAAAAATGAAATGTTACGATGACCTGCATGATTCCATCACTATTTCAACATAACTAAGAAACAGATATCAAATACTGCTGTTTCTGAGTAACAGCAAATTGTCTTTGTCAGAAGAGAGACTGCTCTTCATCAGCAACGCTGACACTTGGCAACATGGACTTCAGAGCAGCCCTGACAAACTTCTTTTTTATCAAAGGCTGCATTCCTGGCTCATGGGAACCCAAGGTTCTGCCTCTGAAACAGGAGATATGCTGAGCTCAAGTAAGCTTGACTGTGTCTCCAAGGTCCTCCTCTGGAGTGAGTCTCCCTCTGTGCTGATGTCCTTCCAGGTCCTCGGCCCCTCACTTTTTAAAGGGAGTGAGTTTGTTGAAGGTATGCCAGAAGAGGGATGGCTTCCGCTTGGGTTCTGCCAGGGCAAAGACCTGCTGCTGTGGGACGCTGGTAGGCACGGTGATATGTCGCTGGTGTAGGGGATGAAGGGTTTGGTGTGGAGGAGGCATGGGACACCCATTATAGCTCACACCTGCAGAAGAACAGTTGGAGAAAGCACCTGAGTCAGCCAGGGAAATTTATGCACAGAGCCAGGGGACATGATGAATTTTGCTGTGATCTTGAACGGCAGAACTACTAAGGGTCACCTTTTCTGATGTTTGACTTTTTAATTGCTGCATTGATTTGGCTTAAGAAGACAACTGTACCAGTAAAAATAATATAAGAGAATTACCAAAACCAAGTAGCCCTTTCACACAGCTGGAGTATATTGTTTGCACAAGTAAATCTTGGTATTTCAAAGGAATGACTTCAAACAGGAGATACTAGTACTTCAGTCCACTCTCAGAGTAAAGCTGGGTAAAATACTGCTACCAACAAGAATGTTATTTCTTCCATTTGAAATACATTTTTCTGGGTTAATGTTCTTAAGACTTGGAGCTTTGTGCATTCTGAACAGAATCTCCTAACCACAAACTTTAACCACTCCCCTGAAAATCCAGACAGGTGGTAGGGTTATCTAATGATTAACAGAAAATGCTTTAAGAATATTAATGCCAGGGAACAGAAGATAACCTAACATCAACTCCTTCCCTCCTAAACTAACACTTAAATCTTATTTCACTTTTAGCACACTAGAGATTTACCCGAGTTTGACTTTAAGATGGAAAAGGACAAAATCTGTTGTGGGTTTTTTTTCTGTTTGGATTATTTTCTGAGAGAAGAAATTAATAAAAAAAAGCCATTTCCTGACAAACAAGCTTCTAGTCCATCCTTCCTTCTAGAGGGATGCCAGAAGAAGCCATTTTGACTGTTATTGCAAATAATATAACAATGTGGCTTGCAAAAAGAACTTTAGGACATTTTAAAGAAGACACTGAATTGATAAAGAAGAACAAGCTCTTTCAGTAAAAGCAAAGGAAGAAATCATAACACTAATTTATAATTTAACCTGTGCATTCAGCTCCTCACAACCTTAAAAATAGACACCTTGCCTTACCTCTTGAGTTTCTTCTCTAATATACAGAATACTGACTTGTCTGTTTGAAGAAGCTCAGGGAGCTGATTTAGTAGACAGTTTACAGATATATTGGAATTTAACATTAAAATACAGGTTAATGACAATTATTTGGCTCCATGTAAGCCACAAAAAATGTTTTTAAAAGACTGAAGAACTCAGACGCAGCCAGACTGCGCTATTTCCTAATGAAAAGATCAATGGAACACAGTAAGAAGGTAATGCAATTCCGAACACTCACCTTTAATTTTTCCTTGCCTTGACTTACGGGCATTCTGCATGGCTTGTTTCTTCTGGTTTTCTGAGATTTCCATACCTACATCAAAATGTAAATTAGGGCACTAGTACATAAATACTGTATCTAATACTTGATTGCATTAAATTAAAACAAGAAAGTAAACTGTATCTTAAACAATTTTTGGTAAATCTTAGTGCAATACACCTGAAATTTTTAGAAGTATATTTTATATTGTTATATGAACTTAAAGAGGGTTTTCCACTGGGATAATGACAGATAAGTCCAGATAACAAGAGACTAAAAAAAAAAGTATTAATTAAAATTTCTGAAATCTACAAGTCATCAAGTAATAGATCACAAATTCAGAATCCTTTTGTTTTTCACTCCCTCTGAGCTAACCTGGGTGACAGACTGGAGTCACTGCTAGTAGAAATTTGGGTATCTTTACCTTCACTCAGAGGAGAGTATCACAAAATCTGGCAGAAGCAGGCTGTGATGTGGTTTTGGCTGCATATTTCTGGGGCTGGATGCCTCACTTGGGTTTCTCATACATACTTGTGTAACTTACATGAGGCACATGGGTAACCCTATGCTATTTACTATCACTGACAGGTGTATGGCTGAGCTGTGGTGACTAAGATATGACAGACATCTGCTAGAAGGTGGCATCAGAGACTGGTGCTGTCTGGAGCCCAGATAGAGGCACTCCAGTTTCCTCTCCCTGTGCACACCACAGTTGAGATACATGGAAATGTCACATTTGCACAAGGTGACAAATAGTTGCGCATGCTGTTTCATTTCATGCTGTGCATAAGGCTGCATTTGACAAATATGCACAGAAAGAGTACAGAAGCTGTGGTTCAAAGTCAGAATGAAGTGTAGTGTCTGCTTCAGTTCCATTTTGCATCTTCCCTCACTTCTCTATACTTTTAAAACTCCCTTTTCTATCCTGAACTTATGAAGAATTTATTACAAATCAGCCTATTAACTTAAAACATCCACAATTTTTGGGCAGCAATATTTTATTTATTCTGCAGGGTCTTGTGTTTTTTTTTTCCTTTATAGAAACAAGGAAGCAGATTCTTAAAAATGAAAGCAATTTCATCAAGAGAGATCAGACCACTTTCTTAGGGTTACTGTTAGTGGTTTGGAGAAGCATTTTCTGGCTGTGGTCTCTTCTCTCATATATTCATAAAAGCTAAGAAAAGCTAGATATGGTTTGAGAGACAATGACTCACACCAAAGTGTCTTTGAAAATAGAAGTAAAATGTCATTTGCAGTTCTGAATTGAAAGAGTATTATTTGTTCTCTGAGTGGTCAGATTAGAGGCTTTGTGTATAGTCCAGAAAGATAGCTTACAAAATCAACAAGACAAATTTAAACCTGAGGTTGAGATCCGTGGCATTTTTCCATTGGTTTTGGCTAAAGGAAATGTCCAATTATGCCAAAAAAAAAAAAAAGAAAAAAAAAAAGAAATAAATTTTAGAAAAGAAACAGTCTTCTGATTAATGGAGAAAACATCCAAGCCACTGTGGCTCACAAGACCAGATAGACATTAGCTATTACAACTCAACTAGCTTTCCTCTGGTTCATCATACCTGACCCAAAACAGGAACATCAGAATAGTGAGTTGCAACACTTGAAAAGCAACTTTACAGAAGGCTGGATGTTACATGGGCAGAGAAGACTGCATGTGCCTATGTGCCATTATCAAACATACAGTTTCTCTTTTAACTGGTTTGGGTTTTTTCCCCACTATATTGCACTGTGCCCGAAGAGCATCAAGCACAATGGACCCTCCTTGTGCAGCTCTTGCACTCAGCAACCATGGGAATTTTTGACCCAGCCCCAAAGGAAGGGTTAGTGCTTTTATGACAAATCTCACTGCCAGTGACACCACCATTGTTGAATGGTTACTCTTCTGAATATCATTTTCATGAGGTCCCAGCAGAATAAATATTTTAGGGCTGTAGCTGCTACACCTTTGCAGTTTCCTCTACTTGGGGATTTCTGCAGCAATGTCACTTAGGAGGAATGATAACACCAAGACAGACCTGTGGCTGCCTATGGCAGAGCCTCAGGAGCATCCTGACAGACAGCATCTAACTTGCTCAACATACTTTCCAGTGCTCCATAAAATAACCACCCTCGAGGCAGTGCAGTGTTGTAGCCTAAAGGCCCACTGGTGAAAGGGTTGCAACCCTCCCTTGGAGAGCCACTCCTTAAGCCACTGACTTCCCGTTAGGGTGAGAAATACACCCACCCAAAGTGCCTTGCTCCACGTATGTTAATATGTTGTTACCTATTGGTTTGGCTTCCGACGCCCCACCTCCAAAGTTGCACCCGATTTGTTCCTGTGTTTTCCCCACCCCTGCTTTCTCTTATAAATAACCCATTCTCTCTGTGCTTGGGGAACTGGCTGTCATTGGCCTCCTTCACAGAGTGCCCTGCACTTAATAAAGGCTTTCTCTGTGGAACGCCATACAGTGCTCAAAGTCTCTTGCTCTGTCTCACCTCACAAAGAGCTGGAAATTCACCAGCCGGGCTGGGAGATGTGCCTGTGCCCCTGGGCAGTCCTTTTCAGGACAGCTTCTTCAAGGACTGTCGCGGCACTCCGCCATCAGACCCCACTGCGGCAGTGCAGAGCTCAAGAATGCTTCTTGTTAGAAAGGATGGGAATGGAAGCATTCACTTGTTCACTTTTTATCTTCTTTACCTCAGTGTTGCTCACAAAAGTGCAGGAGCTGTTTTTACTCAGTAGCATCCTTCTGTGTCACTGTATTATGGTTCACATTGTATACTGGAGTGGAGTAATTCTGTAACTTTGTTGTAAGAGGGACTGTGTGGACAATTATGATCAGATCCTCAGCATTGCTCTATTACCCTCTGATCACCTTCACCCTTTGGCAATATCCACTATTCTACAGTTCTGTATAGGTGAATTAGGGAAAACAGCTACCTCCCACTCGTGTGAGCACAAGGTGATAGAGCAAGGCATGAAAGCCATCAGCATTGAGCCCACCAACGCTGACTGTAATGTCACACTGTGACATTCAGCACTGGAGAAGGGTCGGATTTGCAAAGTCTGAGGGAAGTTTAGCTGAGGCTCCTTCATTGTTTACTCTAGACTCAAGATGACTGGGATTAATTGCAACTGTTGGTGCAATGTGGAAGGGTTAAAACTGATTTTAAATTGAGAATGAATTGGCAAGATTTTAAGGATTTTCTTCTCCTTATGGACTGTCTAAAATACATATGGAAGAGGCCTTATTTTCGTCATACCTACAACAGTATCAAACAAGAGAAAGCCACTAAGATCAAAAGGGTTACATTTGTAATGTAAGGGTTATTCCTGTCTTCCTATTATTCTGACCATGTGTTTTACATGATCATGGAATATAAGGTCTGGCATCTTGTTTAAGTTTTAATAATTTTTGAATTGTATCATCCACTTCACTGCACTTCCAGTGTTAACCTGATGTCACTCCAATGCCTTAGCCTCAAGAATGTTATTGAAAAGGAGAAGTTCTCATGCAGCCAACATACGCAGATACACTAACATTTTAGAAACACTAAAAAGAGTTTTCTGTTTTTAAATGAGTGTTGCTGATTTAAAAATTAGTGTTGCTTTCTTTGTATATGTTTTGCCAATGAAATTTTGCTGGAGCCTTTGTCACTGATCTTAAAGGATGCATGAAACAATGCAAAACCAAAAAAGCAATCGTAACTATACATTGACACAGAAGACACACTGTCCTTGGAGTGTCCCACAGGCTGAAGGTCTAAAATCGGTCCTAGGATTTACTACCTTTATTCCTGCTCACTCACTGCTCTGTGCCAGTACCAGAGCACTCACTGCCCAGTGGTGCTATTGCTGGGTCTGTAGTAAACGACACCATACAACTGCATGGGCCTCCTGGACACAGGAGGTGCTACTATAGCAGACAGTATAAATCTACAATTATTGCCCCTTGGCTTTGTAAAAAATGTCTTTTACAAACAGATATTTTTGACCAATCATTCATACAAAAGTGCTAGGATTTTAGATGGATTTTTACTATTGATTGGTCTTTGTGAATTGCATCTTGTCATATCTCATTTCTCATTCTGCTCCATCATGCACCAGAATCATATGGGTGATGCTACCTGCCCTGGACCTTTGGCCCACAGTGAAAGGGCAAACACACCTGAATAGGCTTCACTTACACAGCTAAACATCATGTCAGGTAAGAAAGGGACACCAGCTCAAGAAGACAAGAGTGCACATCTGTACAAAACAAAGAAATGCAAAAGCAAGTTTTGTTTTAACCACTGTTTAGAAATTGTTTCACTCACCCATTTCCTTGTCTTCTCTAACTCTTCTCCTTTCATTTTCACATGCCTCCATCCATTTCTTTTTATCCTCCTGTTTTTTTGCACAGAACAAATGAACGTCTTCTGTTGCTCTGTTTATTATCTTAAAAGCATTCTTGACACTGATGTTAAAATCTTTGTCTCTCCCATCTTCGGTGTCCACAATTTCTGTCTCGTCCATGTCAATACGATCCTTGTAATACAAGATGTCCCTTCTCAGCAAGTCCTTCTTACAGAACACAAGCTGATGGTCAAAAAGGAAGAAAGTCCTCTGCTGGCTTTTGCCTTGTTTTGATATTTTGGTCAGTTCTCCTGAGTGGATCAGTTCAGAGCTTCTGGCTAACACATCTGGTCCCTAGGAAGACAGATATATAGATATGTAGTAAGTAAATAATATTTTAAGACCTCACTGTGTGTCTAACCAGTCTCACTGTATAATCAAGTCCTCCGTTCACTCACTTTTCTTGTATTTTTATTTTTAGATTTGAAAATGTCACACAATGTAAATAATATCATAGAGGTAAATCAATGTGGTTCTGCTCTACTTTATTGCTGCATAAACAGAGGGAAACATTTAAGTCAGTGAAAGAGGTTCCCATTCTGACAGAACTACCAAACTTCCAAATGAGAGTCAACATTTTTAAAAGCTCCATTTTGCCACCTCATCTCAAAGGCAAGTGTCCATGTTACATACTGCTCTTCCTGAACTATAAACAAGGTTAATCAGTAACAGAAATATTGTAAATGAAGCAACTGGACTTTTAACTGAGCAATGACCACTAGAAAAGTAGATACCATAAACAACCACCTACGCAGAAAGACTCCTGCAGGGGACATCAAGTATTGTACACAGTACCTTTGCTCAGGAAAGGCACAGGCTGACACTCACCTCCCAGTCTACGATAGAGACTTGCCAACGGGCAATCTTGTCTATGCTTTCTAGTCTCCGTTTTCGCTCATTGATCAGGCACGCCACATTCTTCATGGCCTCATATGCAGCTTTTATGTTGCTATAATCACTGGGAAATGTAAGCACATTTCAAGGATCACTTATATAATAAACATGATGCAATCACAAACCATGAAAATGATGCAACCACAGTGCCTGCAGTATTAGCCCACATTATCCACTCATCCCTCTACTCAGGTACTTAAAATAGAGGAACTTTTACTTTATTTAAAAAAAGGATTCCCACTATTCCAAATCCCACATAGTAGCCTGTACAATCCAGTGCTGCTGTACTGCTAGGTTTGTCTAGGAGCAAATTATTAGATTGGTGGAAGGAGGCAGAAGAGATTGATTAATGAACTGCAACACTGTCTGTACTGAAAACAATGGTAAAACTTCCACTGACATCAGTGGTGGCTGTAATTCACCAAAGGACTGTGTATTTAAGTGAGATTTTAGCAGGATTTTTTGGGGAAGGGCATTCTTTTAATTATGTCTAACAACTGTATTTTCTCCTTCTTGTTCCAAATGACTGGGTCAACGAACACAAATGGGGAAATGCTAGGTGGACAGGAAAAAAAACTAAAATCAATCCCACACAGGGTGAGAGGAACTCAAGGAAATGGGTACCAGAGAGAGGAATTAAAGGAGACAATATGAAGAAAACATTCCATTTCTAAGGAACAAATCTGTAAGAGTAATGATGGTCACCTGCCTCCTCCTGTTTCGGAACTAATGCAATGAACTCAGGCCAATCCTCCTGTCCTTCCTGCAATGCTCTGCTCACCTCCTTCATGCCTATGAATCTCCCCAAGTTTGCAGGCAGGCTTTTTTTTCTCCTCTGAATAGCATCCATCTCTCCTTCACCTTTGTCAAATGGAGTCTCTCAGAAGAGAGAAGGGAAGAGACATATTTCTTGTTTAAGGAGTCCCAGCAGAGCAGCTGCTTTTCCTCTTATCAGTGAGATTATCAATAACAGGATCCTACTAACGTCAGGGAGATGTCCCACAGGGTGACCACATGATATCCATACTGCTACACTTGCCCTTCCTTATCTCAGTTCCTTTTTTCTCTGTTGGTATTTATTCCACACTTGCTACACAACCTGTAGCCTTCACAGCAGGCTGTGCATATTGGAACTTCAACTTTTTTATGAAAACAAAATGCTACCAAAACCCCTAGCTGTCTGGAGCTTTCCCAAGACTCCGTGTGGGTGTAGATCTGCATGTTTATGAGCATCTCTGCACAGTGGGTGCCTCTCTGTGATTGAAGGCATCTCTGGATGCTGTGCCACACAGGAGGAAAATAGGTACAATGGGAGGAAGGTGGTGAGACCTCGATGTCACTTTATCTGCAGGTTTAATAGGTCACAGGATAACCTTTCTAAAATTAGCAACAGTGAAAGAGAAACTCTAGTTAGTAATTCTTATTACAGCACTTCCCAGGTAGCCACAGAACTAAACAGAGGCATTTCACATGCCTCTATTGCACTAAATGTGAGTGCTTTACACACCTCGTATTTTGCCCCTGGCAAAAATCCAGTGGTCTCCAAGGGGAGTTTTCTCAAGGTTAAAGCACTGACTTTGACCAACAAAACATTGCCTCAGGCTTCATTTGGACTTTGAGCACAGGGGTCACAATGGAATACTTGCTTGAAATTATACAAGATAAAAAGACACTTATAGATAAAATCTTAATTTAGTAAAAGATTGAATCAGTGCATAGGTATACTAGAAAGGCTATCTGCCTTTTTATGACTTCAATTTTTATTTATGCCAGCTGAAAATCTAGTATCTGGACTTTACTACAAATAAAGGTAATGTTTATTACTACAAAGTTTTTCAAACAAATTATCTCTGACCTTATTCAGGTTGTGGTTATTTTCTAAGGCTCTTTCACCTTTTCTTACATCCATAACTTTTACGAATCTTCCCCTCTTCCTCTTTGTACTTCTTTCTCCTTGACTTCTTTTGACACACTGGCCTTTTTTTCACTCTGAATTACAAATCCCTCTCTGCATCCTGTTTAAACACCATCTTCTTCTCCTTCTCCCTCTTTGACTTACTCCTCATTGTGTCTTGCATCCTCTCAGTCCCTGTGCTGCACTTTCATATACTATTTTTGTGACTGATTGTGATGGTTCCAAGAAGCCCTATTTATCGTGGTTCATGGCAGTTTTGTTCCTGATCTCAAAAGCTTCACTACTGTGTCACTCAGAAAACTTGAGTAATTAGGTGTTACTACTATTACAGAATTTGTTATTAGTTCTCTCACCTGTGCTCCTGAGTGGTGTATTTGAGCAATTCTGCAAGCTGCAAAGGATATTTGCAGATTTTCTGAACAGGCGTGAGAAGGAAACCATCAATGGCAATGTCAATCATCTGCTGAAGCAAGCGACAGGCCTCGAAGAAGTGGCGGTATTTGCCCTGCTTCATCAGTCTGGAGAGTTCAATGCAGGCACTGGGATGATTGTTACAATACTCTGAATAAATAGCAAAGCCTTCTTGCTATCAAAAAAAAAAAAAAAGGTACAATTTTACTAATGTATTTGTCTATAAAACAGAAAAGCTATTTTTGTAATATCAATTATATATAATTAGATTAAATAATCAATTTTCTATATTGCTTCCAGGCTGATCAGCCATGAAATATGCAGAAATCTACTTTGTAGCTGTCATAACTATGTACCCTTCTTTGTCAGAACATAGAAATAAAGGTCTCTTCTCGAGTCAGGATAATCAAACCCACTCTAAGAAGTATTTTTATTTGAGGAAGACAGCAATAGGCTTAGCAAGTTTCTATCAAGAACTCACAGCCTGTCTCCCCACTACCTACCTTAATGTCTGTATGAAGTTTTTGCATGCTGAATATGAGATCACTGCAACCTGTTATCATTAGAGTTTTGACAAGGAAACTTAAAACTGTTTACAAAATTACATGATTGCTAAAAATGAGGAGAAATCTAAAACAAATATTTAATTAATTGCAAGATACTTTAAAGATACTTTACATTCTAAAATGCTGCCAGTAAGAAATGCTAAAATGCTGCAAGTAAGAAACACTTGTTAGTAAAATCCCCTCCTAATACGGTAACTTGGCTTTTTATTTTAATATTTTGTTAATTTCATAAATAGAATCAACTTTTTCAACCTACATGTTGAAGGAAACATGACCCTATTTCACTTAGATGAGGTTCCTCTTTGTTGTACTGTTTCTCAAGATCCTTCAGAAACTTCCTTTGGAACTTGTAAATATCTTCAATATTTCCAAAAATGGTGCTTAACTGAGCTGTGGTGAACATTCCTGTATGTTTGCGACACTGCCGAATGTAACCCTGAAATGAAATAAAAAGCACTCCTTAGTCTGAGGATGTGAGACAGGTATCCCAAAACTGAACAAAATCATTTAAGCTGGCAAGACCCCTGGGGTCTCTAGGCAAGGGAGTGGTTTCCCTGCCACACATGCACAGAAACACAAGTTCAGATTTGCATCTGAGATGTTCACACGTGGATTTTTGGGGTCCAGCCCCTGTCCCAAGTGCCCCAAATGAACTAGCGTAAAGCCCACTCGCATCTTCCTGTTGCGAATACGCTGCAGGGACTGGACCTGCAAGGAACAGCTGCTGTGCTCACAGTCTGACAGCAGTTTTGGCACCAGGGTTCAGGGGGTGCAAAGGTTAACTGATGTGATAGGGGCGATCTGCCAGGCTCCTCCATTTGGCTGCTGGCAGGCAGGCCTCCCGCAAACAGCTCTGGGAGCTGAAATAGCCTTGCAGTTGCTCTGGTGAGGTTTACCAGGAAGCAACACTGACTGTTGCTGGCACTGTTAGAAATATTCCTGTCTCCTCCACAGCCATCTGCTCTGAGAGCTGTGCAGTGGCTACGCTGCAAGCCAGCTACCGCATTTCCTACTGCACCAACATGGAAAGCTAATTCCTGTGCGGCTCCTGTAATGTGGATTGCAGACACTTCTTGAATGTAAAACATGTTTTATGGGTATACTCTAGCTTCATGATCCTGGCTACAACCAGCCTGAGTGTTTCATTCGAGGGCTGAGCTTGCAAATTCGGTTACTATCTGTGTAGCTTTTCTGGCTTCATCTTACTTGAATGTATTTTCAGCCTTATGTCCTACTTGCACCACCCTACAGATTCACTCTGAGGACAGCAGACTATCTCTACCCCACATGTTGAGCGTGGCCCATTGCTTCTCTTATGTGTGCTTGCTCTCTTGTACTAAACTCAGATGCTTTCCAGATATTAAAAACCAGGTATAGGATATACATATTAGAGAAAATTAATTAATATGTGCCAAAGTCTTAACAGGTCAGTAAAATATGAGAGTCATGTCCTAGAACTCAGCTAGTCATGGCAGCAGCATAGCAGAGTGTACAAATTCTTACCCGGTCTTTCATGCACACAGTCAATCTTACAGGCTTAAGTAAATAATGAATATAAATGATAAAATTTACATTTAATGTTTCAAAATTAGCCAGTTTTGTCCTTTCTCTCCTTTTTTATTCTTCTTCAAGAATAAGACCTGATCTAAAAATGGAAAAAAAAAAAAAACCAAAAAAAACAAAACAAATAAAAACCTACTACTGCCTTGTCTACTTTGTTGTGAATGAAATAATCTAATGCTAAGTGGTGAACTAAAGGATGACAGCATGACAAATGCAAGGACAGACCTACAAACTAAGGCTACAAAGAATATTTTTGTAGGTTGCTTAGCACCATTCCAGATGCAAACCACAAAGACAAGTCAAATACAGGTCAAATGCATCACAACTCATGTCAGAAAAGGCAAACTTCAGTGAAAAGTATTAAGAAGCTTCTTGCCCAAGTGTGACCTTCCAACAAATACTGAGAAAAAAAGCAGAAAACCACCCCCATTTTATGGCTCAAACCAGAAAGGCAGTTCTAAAACACCCTTAGATTTCTTCACAACTCCTAAACATCCATTAAAAATCTCCTCGCTTGAGAAAACAGAGAGAAAAAACACTTTAAAAATACTCTTTCCAAGTTACTTCCAAGAAGTTCTGTCACTGAACTATAAATTATTTTATTACAACTACTCAAAGTTTTCTATACAGTGGCAAAAAGCTCTAAATAAACTGGACTTCCTTCTCTCATTAATTATGGAAATAGCAGTCAGAGAGGCATTTTTTCGCTGTCAAAAATGGAAGTTTTTTAAAAGAAAGGAAGCAATGGCTCATGGCAGTCATCAGAGAGGAAAACTGTAAGAGGAAATGAAGAATCTGACTGACAGCGTCAGAAGTGCAATTGGGAGTATTTACATATAAAAATCCACTGTAGCTCTCAACTTATATGGAATTATTTGTTCTCATTAGGTCAGCAGAATGTCCTCAGGTTAAATGATGTACCTCACAGATGTCCTTGAGATGCTTGATATAGACACGTTCTGTTTTCATAATTTCCTGTATAACGTTGGTTCTCATCTGATCCCTGTTTTCAGCTATTTTCTGGCGATGTTTGTTAATATCTGAATCTTGTTCTTCATCCTGGATATTACCACAATTTTCTGGCACTTCTTCCTGATTAACTCGCAGCTGCAGCCAGAACAAACAAAGCAATTAGAGTGAGAGCAGAAAGTTTTACAATATGTGGTAAAACTGTTACAAACTTCTTATACTACTTCTTATAGAGGGGGCTTCACAAGAGGATTTATCTCATTGTACTCACTGCATATTCAGATAAAGTGTTGAGATTTCTGTCTGGTTAAATACATGACTTTCTACTCATAGTATTTGAGAGAGACTACGCTGGGCTGTCTATGTACTTGTCAGAGTTCAGCTTATTTCTGACCCTTACTAATAGTTAATGTGTTTGACCAAGTTAGCATAGGAATAAAAATTACAAAAGTAGACACTCAACCACTTTTGAATGTGCCCCATCTGTATGATGAAGATAGCAGCACCTCCTTTTCTGACTTCTGTCTGACTGCCCAGGTTGTCTACAAATTAGGAAGGGGAAAGGGAGGAACCACCTGATGCTACACTTTTTGTACTTCATGCAGTGTGACCCACGTTTCACTACAGGCTCTCAAAAGGCAGTTCAAACTATTTTCTAAAACATACTTCAATTTTTTACCCTCTGAGAGTTATACTGTCATTAATCTGGGTGAGTTCTGACTGTTGAGCTCAGACTGTAAGCCAGATTTCTACACAATGTCCTTGATAATAAATTCAGCCCTATTTTACCAAGAAATCTCTGCAGCATAGTTCTGCTCTGCCCTTATGAGAACTGTTGTGTCCTCTATGCACTGATGACTTCCTGGTTGAGCTTCATGCACTTGTAATCTCTGTTTGAGAAATTCCTTTGGTTACAAAGGGACCAAATTAAGAAGGCAGAGTAAAAGTTGTCAGAGGAGCTATGGGATCTTAGGGTGCAATTCTCTACTGCTTTTTTCCTTGTGAACTTCTTAGGGGTTACACCACCGATGTTCAGCTATATACTGAGGATCAGGTATGAAATGTAATGCCATGAATGTTGCACTCTGCTAGGAATCTTGCAATGGTGCAAAAGCAAAAAGCGAAATAGTTACTCACCCTGACAAAGCTAGCTGGAAACCAGGCCTCCTTGTCCTCATTCCTTCCCCACCACCAGTCTTTGTTGGAAGCTTCTAGAACTCTAATGACATCTCCAGCTTTGAAGCCCAGCTCTTGATCATCCATAGTGACATGATCCCAGAGAGCCTCTGCATAGACGATGGTGCCATCGCTTATCAGCTAAGATAGGAAGAAAATGAGATTGTGAAGGACAGAAGATAAACTATGAAGTGTTTATAAACTACAAAGAGATCAATATAGGTCACTAGATTGCCTACATTACTCCTGTTACAGGATAAAACTAAAATTTCAGATTTTCAGAAATCTATGCCTATTCTCATTTATGAAAACAAATAGAATCTTGCTTCAGAGCAGTTGCATAGGGTAACAGTTACAGTCTGTGATGGTTTAAAACCCAGAGAGAAAATTAAATCCATTCAAACTGTCCCCTTTGCCTCACTCCCTTCCTATAGCGGAGGAAACACTAGGAGAGATTATAGAAGGTATCACAATTTACTGAAAAACTGCAATAACCACAATAATGCTAGTAAAAGAGTGTACAAAACAAAGTTCTACCCACAAAAAGGTATTCACCACTGAGCAAACAAAAACACCTCCCAAAGAAACTAGCTACTGCCACTGAATTTTTTAAGACTCTGAAATCTCAGACTGTGGAAAACATTCCTCCACATCCCCCATCCCTGTTCTGCCCTTCCTGTGCCATCATTCCAGCAACGCAAAGCCCCGGACATTACCTCATTAATTGCTAGCTGCTCCCCTCCGGGCTGCAGGTACCTGGGAGCAGCTTGGCAGAGCTCCTCGTAGCTGTAATCTTCCTCACTGCCATTGTCATCCACTAAGGCTGAAGATTCAGTCCCACCATCTGCAGCAACTAAAACAAAAGTGCAACAGCTGTTTGCTCCATCATTCTTCTGATTCAAAGAAAGACAACAATGCAAGAGGAATTGCTGAGAAATTGCCTTTGTTGTCATGAATAAAACAGCAACAGCAGGAGTGGAAAGTAGCAGAGCTCTAAGGAAAACCACCTTTCCGTCATTAAATATGTTTTACTCATTTTTAGAATTTCTCATTTAGCAGCTGATAAAACTTTTGTAGACAAAAAAACCAGAACTACAACATTTCCTTGCTTATTTTTTACCTGTATCAGAAGGAAAGCCCTGATGCCATTTTCCAGGCAGAAGATGTGAGAGCCCCAGCAGCCCCCAGCAGTCAGTGGGGCCACTGTCACCCCAGGCCAGGTGTCCTCACACTGTCACATCCCCTGCAGGGACATAAGGACCAATGGTTCTGTGCCCACCCACCCGTGAGAGGGGTGGGCAGCCCATGTGCAGCCCCAGCTCTGCGCTGGCTGTTGCCCCCTCTCCCATGCACTGGGAAGGCTCTGGCAGCAGCAAGGCTCAAGGGGACATGGAGCCCAGACCGGGCACAGTAGAATAGCCCTACAAAAAACCTGTCCCAAAATTGTCCCAAATCACAACAATTTCTTGGTTTGACAATTGTACATTTTCTGACCAAAGAGGCAGCTTTGTATGGAAAGAGAGGTCAGGACTAAAAGGGGCTTTATCTTATTACACAGCCACATAAGCCAGGAAAAACATTGTTACAGTATAGAACTATAAAACCCATTTGGGTTACACCAGTGGGTGACAAATTCTTTTGGCGATCACCTCCACATTGGCAGAGGAAGAGAACTGGGGGCTGACCTCAGGAACAAGTCTGACTGACTGACACCCACACTGCTCAATGCTGGACCCTGTCCAAGTGGGTTTGCCCACTTGTAATGTTCAAACCATCCGGGATCAAGAAGCATTCATGACCAGTGGTCATGTGCTTGAGTGCACTCTCTGGTCCTTGTTAATTTATTCCTAAAGATTTATTCTTATGGCAAGCCCAAGATGGGAACTAGAGCCTGAAGATCATACAGTGCTCAAAAACGCATTAAAAAGTAAAAAGTCAAATTCAGAATAGGTTGCTACCACTGAACCTCTTTGCTAAAGGTTAGTGTGCCAAAGGTAAGTTGTCACAAAGTTAACAGAGCAAGTCTTTCTCCTGAGTGCCTGGGAAGGGACATTTAAGCAGAATTATCGAACCTGCCAATTCCAACAAGCAGCAAGGCCAAGCAGTAGGATCCTGACACTGCCTCCTCTCTACTCTGCTTCAGACCTGGGCACTGCCTGTCTGCTGAGCTTTGGGTTCTGGATAGGTAAGAGTCACAAGGAGACAACTCCTGGCTTTATTCCATGCACCTACTTCCATCAGGCACTCTGCTGCTATCTGCTATTTACCTTATAGGGAGAAATACTGCAACCCCCCTCCTCAGAGCACGCATACCATCACTAGCATCTTCACTCATCTGAGCATTAATTTGCCAGAGAGATCAAAGCAGACCACCACACAGATTCACTAAAAAACTTGCAAGATTTTTCTTTCCAATAAAATTGGAAAAATATGGCATAGTCTTGATACAACAGAACATGGCTATTTAGCCATTCTGTTCTACTCCCTAGTATTTTAAATAGGCATTCACCTTAACAGTATAATCTGCCTGAGTAGGAAGGATGCAGAACCCCTTTTTAAAAATCAAGACTTTTTTTTTCCCTATAAACTCATTAATCTGAGCACTCATAAACTTTTCAAATACATCTTCCAAAACTTACTGAAAATTATTTTAAAAAATCTGCAAATAAGTATTTCATTCAATCAATTTTTATCATATAAAGCAACATCCAAAAAATTAATCCCAGTGATCCTTTACACATTTCCACTGCACTATCCATACTGCCTGTGGGGTTGTTCCAGTAATAATGGCACATCAAAATAACCTAATTCATTTGACTCCAGACAAAAAAGAACTACAATTTTGGGACAGAAAGCTGTTACTCTGTACCAAATCAACAAGCTTATATTGACTTTGTTGGGTAGAATCAAATGAAATCTTGCATTCTGCATCTTTTCCTCTATTGTATACAGACAAATACCAGAGGGAGGGGTGTGCTTTCCCGGTTGCACCAACAGGATGCAAAAAACTTAAGACAGCCTGGGATTGATGCTGATCTCCTAGCAGCTTTTCACCAGTACTGCAGGTTCCCGTGGATGATGACAGAGTGTCATTGGTCAGACCCCCCTGACTGCCACTGTTTACCAGTTCAACCAAAAAACATTGTAAAAAAAACCAAGAGCGAGCATGTTCTACTCACACGTACCCATCTGAAGACTCTCCAGACTCCAAAAACGTGCCATTGCCCCCCTGGCTACCATGCTGCCGTCAGACCTCTCACAGGTGATGATGCTCAGTCCTACAGGGCTGGTGGAGGATCACAAGAGGCTCTGAGCTGCCCGCAGCTCAGAGGAACAGGCTGCCAGCTGCCTTCAGCTCCCGGCAGTGCCTCTGAGGCCGAGCCCGGCTGGAACTGCCAGCAGCGCACTCAGCGCTCAGCCTGGCTGCCGCGAGCTCCGCTCTCTGACATCATGGGGTGCCCTTAGGGAGGAAGTTCCAGAAAAGAAACAAAAACCTGGCTGCCTGGCCCTGGCCGCGCTGCGCCTGCAGCCGCCCAGACCGCTCCCACAGAGCCTGAACATCGCAAACACAGCAAGCTAGGGAGTACATTTGTCTTTCATTAAAGCAGCTAAACGTGATTCCAATCTATATTCAAATGACTGCAATCCAGAGGGAGAGATGATGTGGATGGGAGTTGGGAGTTCCTTGTATTACAACACTGTTCAGAGTATCGGTCTATCTTTGTCATACTATACCAGCTGAAGTTCCAGAAGAAGTAAACAATTAAGGTATTTTTTGCACAATTTCTCTTGCTTCACAGGCAAACACTGAATCATTTTTTAGGGCACAAGCAGCACAAGTGTTAAGGCTGCAGGAGACTGCTCCCAGGAAAACAGGGAGTAGGGAGACATTTTCTATTCTTCTTTACCTGAAAACTGTTGCTCAGCTGAGCCTGTCCTGTAACTGGGGACTGCCTCCTCCAGGGATGTGTTCACAAAACCCTGGACGCATTTCTGTATATAATATAGCAACTTCTCAACACTCACTAAAATCCCATGGTTTTCCCAGTGCTGCCTCAGACATAGCAGGAAAGGCCAAACATCACCCTGAAATATTAATGCTGTCTTCCTGCAAAAATCCTATTTGTGCTGCACTCCACAGGAGACTGACAGAAATAATTTTATGATCTCTCAAACGTCCCTATTATTTCTTGCTGCAAGGACTCTAGTTGGATAGCACAATAAAAACAAGCTACTACACAAGATCTTCATACACAACATTTTTCTTGGCATAAACCATTAAAAAAAAGGCACACTGGCAAACAAAAGTGACACTGACAACACTGAAGTGCTGATGATCCTGGGACTTGCAAGAGAAAATGTTGCACTTTTAATCAGTCAGATCACAAGATCTTTGCCATGTCAAACCCCTGCCCATTGGGGAAAAACAGTTCAACTGCCCAAGGAAAACCAGATCAAACCTTACACAGCTCTTCTAGAGGACACTTTAATAAAACAACCTCTAAAAAAACAACTCAAAACTCTTTCAGTCTGATTTTTGAAGAAAGGAACAGACTGTATGCTTTTGCCCAATGACTAACCTAATGCCATTGTGAGATGCTGCTTGGATGGAGGGGGCTCTGCCCTCCCTCCTCTGCATGAGCACATCTGGCAAACTGAATCACCACAAAAGTGCTCATTTAGGGTGAGGTGGTGGTGGCTTCATTGCCTTGTAGATGAGCCAGGGACAGGAGGAGGCACGGGCTATCCTTTGTAGTGGCAGTCCACAGTGACCTTGTCCAAATGCATGCTGAGCTGGCTCAGCCACTGTGCAGGGCACTCTGAAAACTCTGTGGGTAGCACTTACTAAAATACTAAAAGCTAGTTTATCCACCTCAAGAAAATTCAGTTCTAGAAACACCCTGGTATCATAGAACCCTTCATCCTCAGGCAGACCACAGATCACCCCCAACCACTTCTCTGACAGCAGCCAGTAGTAGATGCCAGTAGGGAGGAACATAAAAATAGATGAGGCGTGTGATGGCATTTTTCTAAATTCCTGTTATCTTCCAGATCAGTCAGATCCCTCCTGGGGCAGAAATTAATATCTTTGTGTTTAATGAATGGGATTTTTCAAACCACTTTCTGATTTTTTAAAACTGTTGGGATGCAAAATACAATGTGTAGCAATTAGTTTTATAATTTAATTTTACAGACTGTGAAAATTATCTTTTATTTTGAGCCTGCTCTCTGGTGATTTCATTTTGTGCCCTTTAGTTCTTAAATTATTGGAAACAATAACTATTATCTGTTCATTTTTCCTATGCCAAAATTTTATCCTCTTATTGTCTTTTTTTCCATGTTCCAGCGCCCAAGCCACATTAATCACTCCTCCCAGAGACACACACTGAGTCAATTTTCTTGTCCTGCTTTTTTCTATATCGACCCCTGTAAAAAATGCCGTTTGGGATGGAAAGGAATGGAGAGATGGCCCCCCCCACACACCAGTGGCACAATTGGGCCTTCTGTTTTGTTCTCTATTCATTTTCTACAAACTCCTGCCCTTTTATTTACTGTTTTGTCTGTTACTATGCACTGCACTGACTCTGTAAAAGTCTGTTAAGACTGCAAGATCTTTTCCTGCATGGCAATATCCAGCTCAAAGTCCATTCTTCTGTAAGCACATCAGGCTCTTTTCCTCTTCCACATGCATTACCTTGGCTTTACCAACACCTGACGCCAGTGCAGTGCCTCATGTCTCACTTTTACTACTGTGAATAATTCAGCACACCACCAAGAATTACCATTTCATTTTATACTTCCCTTCCCACATCATTCATGAAGACATTGAACATCTGATTCCACTCATGAGCTCTCTCTTTAAGAAAACCAACCACTCTCCTGAGTCATGGAGCTGTGCTCCACTCATGCCAAATTCTAGTCCCACATAAAATATGCAAAAAAAGATGAGTTTGTTTCTCAGATGCTTATAAAAAATTGCTTTGCAGTGACAAATAGACTGTTTAATGCAATTTAAAACTTATAGCCTTCAAGCACAAGAATAGCAATTTAAGTCTCAAGGGCAGTTTCCCCTGTGCTGTCTGATTCGTACTCTCCTACAGATGACAATCTGTTGTCTTATAACACCTGTTTTTCTAAAAATTTACATCTCCACTTTTATCTGCCATTGCTATAAGAAGACAGTATGTAATGTATTAGGCTTTAGCAAGTAACTAAAATAAGATACCATTGGTTTTCAGTGCTTGGGTTTAGAATTTCTTTCTATAATAAAGGGCTTTTGTGCTATCAAATTTCACTGAGCATGAGCAAACAAAAAACTCTCACATGTTCAAAGACAAGGAAGTGCCTTGTGATTTAAGAGAAAAAAGAAAAGAGATCAGAATTTGTGACACTAGTCACTTTAGTATTTTTTTCTGGAGCTACCAAACAGATCCTTGCAACTGCTTTCAAACTGTGAAGTCTATGATATTCCTCACTTGCCTTCAGAGTTTTGATTTCAGAAACTTTTCCTGTTCCACTTCTATGTATGTTGTAAGATCTCATAAAAGTCACATCTAACATAATCAAGGTTGCTTTGGGTTCATTGTCCTGAAAAGTGGCAGCAATCTTAGTTTGTGTGTTTGTCATCCTGATGCTTAAGTTCATGGGACCATTTATTCAAAACCTAAGTACCTGGAGGGATACTGCTCTCAGGCAGTTGTCTAAGTAACTAATACTATTTCATGTGGTTTCCAAATATCAGTTGGAAAGGATAACTAAAAATAGAAAAAATAATTCCTGCTCTGTGATAATAAAAGAGCCTCTCTTTATCGCAAACTACATTATGGAAGATCTGTTATTCTGTGAGTGGTCCTTCTGGAATCAGGGACTGAGACATCACATAATCTCAGCAAGAGTCACAGCATTTGATGTCTAATTTACCTCAGTGCGTTATCTGGATCATTAAATGTACTAAGAAGCATACAGCACAACACACTCCAGACACGGGTTTGAAAGTAGTTCCAAATATTTTACTACAATATAAATTAAAAGAAAAATACATATGGAATATATATAATTTCCCTAGTTAGAGAGAAGAGAGATTTGAACTTTTAGCTCTTTATTCCATACCACCCACATCATCACTGGAGGCATGGTTTTGGCAGGAGTCACCAGGCACTGGAAACCAAAGTTTGCCACCTTGCTGGATCTCTCCAGGGTGAAGGTATTGGGATCAGGCAAGTAGACCCAGCCCCTCTCTGCCACTGTCAGTCCCTCTCCCATCCCTTCAGGTGGCAGCTTTAAGACACAGTGCTGAAGGACAGCGAGGATGAGTCTGAGATGCCACTCCAAGGGAACAAAAAGCATCAGAGAGAGGCAGCAGCACAGAGCCATGCCCAGCTGAGCTACACAGAGCTCAAGCTCCAAAGGGGCCCAACTTGAGCAGCACCAGCACTGGAGGCAGCTGTGTGGGATTGAGCCAACCTGGGTGGAGCAGCATCAGCGCCAGAGGCAGCTGTGCAGAATTGAACCAGCAAAGCAGAGAAGTCTGAGGCACCACTGTGGCACAATGCAATGATCACACTTCCAAGGGGTTTGCTTGCCCTAGTCCTTCATTGTTTTCTGACTGGGGTGAGAGAGAACATTAAGCAGCAGAAGCTCTCCTTGACATATTGCCTTTGTGTCCCAAATACCATGTGGCCTAGATGCAGACCAGAAATTATATTGCCTTTGTGTGGAGACCACAGCAGGTACTTTCTTCAGGAAGACCTAGGTTTTTTATCACAGTGGTATATGATGTTTTTTGTGGGTAGGGAACCTTCTTTTTGCATACTTTTTGCTATTAACACTGCTGTTTTCATTGCAATTTTAGTAAATTGTTATCTTGTAATTTCTCCTTATTGTTCCTCCATTACTGAAAGGGGCAGGGGGAAAGGGAGTGGCTTATTTGGAGTTCAGTTCCCTAAACCAGCTGTCTAAACCAGCACAATAACGGATCTCAGAGTCACAGAATATTCTGAGTTGGAAGGGACCCGCTAAGATCATCAAGTCCAACCCTTAAGTGAATGGCCCATATGGGGATCAAACCCACAACCTAGGCATTATCAAGACCATGGTCCAACCAACTGAGCTCATCTCAGTGGATAAGTCCTTCTTATTGACATAGTCAGAAATTCTCAAGTCTGCTTCTTGAAGTGCACGTCCTGAAAAAACTGTCATGTTCTATTGAAAACAGGAGAATTAAGTTTTAACGTGTTCTTACATAAACTAATTTGTAGTTAAAGCATTTTTGGTAGAATTTGGACATCACTGCAGATAAAACTTAGCTAAGAACCATAGAAGCCAAGTACTGACTTGTAAACATACACGTAATTTTAATAAACATTGAAAATACTATTTGTTAAGTTTCCTATTTCAGTCATAGGAAGCCTTGATCCAGAACATTTAGGGTGAAGGTTCCCACTAGTGCTTTGTTCACTATTAACAGTGAAAGATACAAAGTGAGAATTTTGCTTTTATTTCCAAATCTTTCCAGTGTCTGAAGGAACACAAATGGTGTTAGCCCAGGTTCTTCTGGATCCATCTGTGAAGAAATGTTCCACTACATCTAGACTAGTTAATAGACTACTTCTATTAACTCCAAACAGCATTGCATGCTAAGAGTAAACAATTACAGCAAAATTACACAGGACACATCAGGGAGCCTGTTAAAGCGCAGTGCTTCCAAAAAGGCAATTTTTACCAAGAACTTGTCTCTCATGTACCAGAGTTCTGGCTGGACTACACTCACCAGTAAGCCACTTAATTATTTAAGGTTTGCCTATCTAAGTAAAGCTGAATGCATGGAAAACAGAAAATTAAAAATACATGTGTGGTGTGGCTAGGGTTCAGGTACAAACTCAAGCATATTAGAACATACTTCCTTCATCATCTATCGACTTTAGGCAAGTATATGAAGAAAGTGGAGAATACAGGCATATAAGTGCTACAGAACAATAAACCATACTAATGTCAGAGAATAGACGTGGAAAAGAAGTTTTACATGAGAACAGCAGCTCTAGTAAGAAACTCACAAAACAAAGCAACTTAGTTGGGTATTAATTTGTCATTGAGTTGGTTTGCACCCTTTTGTCCTCCATACTATATTCTAATTCTTGCTTAGCCTGGAGTGTGGCTTTTTGATATACAAAGTTAAAAATACTCATCTTACCATTAGATGTTCTCATCTGCCGCCTCCGTCCCACCCGGTCCAGACCGATGGGGGTACTTTGTGAGAAGGTGAGTGGCCGGAACCTGGCTGAAACAGCCTTGTATGGGGGCACCTTGTGTGCTGGAACAGGTGGCCGTGCCACAGGCTACCAAGGAAACAGGAAAATCCAGTATTAGTAAAGCTACAGGCAAGTCCAACTGAGCAAAGCTCAGGTATGAAGTAAAGTTTGTCCAGATAGTCCAGGTAATTACACGGGCAGTAAAATCCCCTATGTTGAAGTAACATTGCTTAAACACTGCATACCATGTCCACCAGCATCACAGAACAAGTTTTATTACATTACAGTTCTTTGTTACATTAAAAACTCCTTAGCCCTCTGTTGTGGTCAGACACGCTCTGTAATTTTCATCTTGTAATACTCTTTTTTGAAGACAATCAAGAAGGCAGGAACACCTCTCCTATAAAGACTGGGCTGAGAGAGCTGGGATTGTTCAGCCCGGAGAGGGAGGGAGACCTCACTATGGCCTTTCAGTACCCAAGGCGGCCTACAAGAAAGCTGGAGGGGGGCTTTTTACAATGGCATGTTCTGATAGGACAATGGGAAATAGCTTTCAACTGAAAGAAGGCCAATTTAGATTAATGAAAAGGCTTTCTAGGGTGAGGATGGTAAAACACTAGAACATGTTTTCTGCAGAGGTGGTGGATTTCTATTTGCATCAGTTACATGTAGTACTTGTCAGTAAAATAAACAAGACAACAACAATTGTGTAAATGATGCTCTGTTTTGAGTTCCCACGAGTCTCATAAGAAAGAGGTAATACTAAGTTTATTGCAACATTATCTCAAAGCCATTTTCTTCAGATAAATCATCCATTTGTTAAATTATGATTGGAAAAACTACCCCTGTTTTATTTGGAAATTGAGTCTGATTTTACGTTGTCCCTGAACAATGCCACATAAGCCAGGGTGAATGATGTTGCATAAGCATTCAACATTAAACAGCCAGGCTTCAGCACATGAACTTCAGAGAAACTCATCTTTAGATCTTCTCCTATTGTTCAGTTGTTACTGTTCTTCTATCAAGTAATCTGAAACATCAGAAATGGCTTTTAATGAACTATCTCTTGATGCTCTGTTACAAAAGACATGACAGTATTGTTTGAAAATGTTTTCTCACACCTAAGCTGTCAGACCAAAACAAAATACAGCAAAGAGGAATTAGCTTTGTACTTTTCAAATATTCCCATGGGTTTCCAAAGCTTTAAAGGAAAAAATTCACCAGTGTGAAGAGCAGTCTTTGACAGGCCCACATAAAATACTTCCAGCACATATATGCCTGCTTAATGAGTCCTTTTTCACATCCCAGCTAAAAGTTTACATTTTATTATGACTGCCTTATCAGTATACCAGGATCCTTCACCACAAAAAGGCTGATTTGTTGTATCAAATAGCTAGTAAAAGTGATGGCAATTATTGTATGTAAATAACTGGCTAAGTAAGAAAAACAAGTTATTTATATCTGGGCAACTAAAATTTTCTTAAAAGGCTTCAGTCCAAATCCTTTCCTCAGACAGACATGGATGTGTGGCAGTCCTGGGAAATTGGCCTGGGAAGGCCATAATTTGGTTTAATAGTGTTAGGAATGCTTCACCGTTTTGGTCTTGACCACAGTGATCCAGCAATGTGCTAACTTAACCCCAACCAAGCTCTTATGGCAGCAATGGAGCATGGAAAGAGTCAACTCAAATAGCGGCCTTGATGCATGTTCCTTCACTATTAAACTGATGTGAATGAAGTTTGAAAAGAGATCAGTTTTCTTTCAGCACTAAATGAAGGGCCTGGAGAGTGTTTAATCCCTTACACAGTACAGCAAGTTGCCAGTACTTACTATCTCTTAAAATCTATCTATTATTCTTGAGTAAGATGGCCTAGAATTTGTAACAATGATTTTCTTCCTTTTTTTTTTTTTTTCTCCCAAGTTAAGAGACAGAATTAATTTTAAAATATCTTAATTACATATGATTTGAAACAAAGGTCTTTGCCTAGGTAAAAGGTTCATTGGCTACAGCTGGGGTTTTGCATCAAGATGCATTTTTTCATCAGGGACTTATAAAGAGAAAGTATGTAATACACAATAACAGTGTTCATATTAGAAAATGTTTTTCACAGAAAACTGAAACCTGCCATTGTTTCAGCACTTTACTATCACTAAACTTCCCAGCAGGAGATGAAGTGACTTTAGAAAGACTAACAGGACTCAAATTTCACTAATAACTACCAAAATAAAATTTTTTGAGGATGCAAATACTAATTTCCCGTTGCTTTATCAGCTTGACAATTGCTTTAGGCAGAAGTCCTCCAGCTTTCAGAGAAAGTAGAAAATACCTGATGAGAGCAGTTTTACAAAAGCCTGTGATCCTGAAGCTCTGCAATTAAATGCAAGATGGGGCCATGACCACAAACACAAATTCCTCTACACATTGTACTTGTTCAGCACTACCTCCAGGGAGAAAGGAGCAATTTTTACCTTTTAGAAATTTTTAATTTCTCACTCTTTTACTTAAGCCAACTGAGATGGCAAATAAAGGTACTACTCAAGTACACACTGCTTGCTTATAGGTTTCCTACCTTTGTTTCATCTGATCAATTTAGTAGTACATGGACAGACATTGTATTCATATTGTCAGTTTTCTTAAATTCTTAATTTCATTAATTTCTCAATTTATTACCGATTTTCTCAAGCGCTGTCTTAATTGATTTAAGTATCTTTGCTATGCCAAAACCAAGATTTTGAACACCACTTTTAAAGCCACAGTTTTTGAACAGGCCTGCTTTTGGATAATTTGAAATGACCAATAAATAACATGTTATCATTCTTTTTGATTGTACTATTCTGTTCCTCAGGCCCTCTATAAGGAGACTAAACACAGATCTGTCTTACAAACAAATAAGCCCTTATAGACCAACGTAAGACATAATGACCATGCCAAGAAAGAAATCAGATTAATTTACAATACAGAAAAGATTATCCCAAAGTCAGTGTCAGGTTTGTTCCATGCTGTATTTTTAGCAAGAAGACAAAGTAATTAGTGACCAAGAAAGCAGTATTCTAAGTACACGATGTCAGCTTGACAAAAGGGAAGGAAGAAAAGGAAGCATCCATTCTATTTTCTAGGCTGAAGATAGAGACAAGGAAGTGAAAGGGTCTTTTGCAGTTTGCAGAGCACATCTGTTTATCTTACTTGTGTCAGCAGATTTTCTCTCTCTTCTACTTGATCGTCTCCATAGAAATTGACCCCACCTATTACAGAGATGGGTCTTCTTTTTCTCCCTCTGTGGTAGCCTACAGTATTGCTTTGGATCACAGGCCCAACGGAAGCCAGTCCTGGCTGATTTTCTCCATCTGTGCAGTCTATCTTCTGAGACTCCACTGCAACTGCATCTTCTGGTATAGAGAAACTTCGGATCGACATTTGGCCATAGTCTGAGAGAGGTCTGGGCCGGGATCTTTTTCCAGAGCCCCATTTCCTGGGTGTGACCTTTTGTGAGTCTGCCTTTTCTTCATCCTGGGATGTGGACTTCTTCCAGTGGTCATCAGAAACAACCTTTTTAAATGTGAACAAGTCAAATAAGCCACAGAATTTTCTGACAGTTAATAATTTGTGAGTTTGTCTTATGGCAGATCAACTTAACATGTCTAAAACCGAAAGAGTTACCATAAATACAATAAATGCAAATGAGGAAGAGAACTTCCTCAATTCCTCAAGAGGTAACAATTCAGGAAGAGATAACTTCGCAAAGCAGAGACATCATGATGCTTGTGGTAAGGTAAACACCCAACAATCAGTACCTCTTTGGCACACCAGACTAGTAACACTAAAAACTCACCTATTACCTCAGCAGTACAGATAGATCCTATCACAAACACTGAACTCATGGAATAGTATCTGAGAAAGATAGCTCTGGGCTCATAAGACTTTTTTCTATGCAAAAATTGGATACTACAGGTAACAGCAGTAAAAATAACTCAACTGTGTCTTTGGACTTTTTACCAAGACTTGTAGCAACAGGACAATGGGCAACAATTTTAAACTGAAAGAAGGTGGATTTAGGTTACATATTATGAAGACATTCTTGACCATGAGGGTGGTGAGGCACCAGAATAGATTGCCCAGGGAAGCTGTGCACGCTTCAACCCTGGTATCGTCCAAGGCCAGCCTGGATGGGGCTCTGGGCAACCTGGTCTAGTGAAAGATGTCTCTGTCCCTGGCAGGTGAGTTTGAACTGGATGGTCCCTTCCAAGCCAACACATTCTATGATATTTCTCTGTTTCACCTCTGTTCAATGATGAAAACAAACAGCAAGAGGCTGCATTTTGACCTCTTGCAGATCCATGTAACTGTAAGCTGATACCAGACTGGGCAGTCACATTCCGTCCTACCACTCACTCCCACAATGCCTCTTGGTCAGATCTAGAGATTCTGCAGCCAGGAGTGATTTGGTGAGCGAGCTCATCCAGTTTGAAAGGGAGAAGCTCACTTCCCATATGCTCTGGGAGGTTCAAGTCATGCAGATTATATCAGAGATATATTATAGTACAAACACAGGGGAAAATGACTGGTTTAGACAGGAAGCTTGGAAAATGAGCATGTTTTTCCTATTTAACAGCACACCTGGCTCACAGAGGTTAATGCCTTCAAGTATCACAACTGTAGTGGCATTACAAGTTTGGAAATAAAATCATCTCAACTGAAATACTTGGTAGAGAGAACATTTTTAAGCACTTCAATGCATTTGAAGTAATACTGTTGTAATTTTTTTCTAGCAAAACCCTTGCAATTTTTCAGAAAAAAAAATCTGCACACAAAAATTTATGTTCACTTTTCCCTCAAATTTCTGATTTCTTGGTGTTTCTTGCCTTTTCCGAGCTCTTTCATAAAAACAGAAAAGAAATAGAGAAAGCTAGTAAGTATTTCAAAAAAGAAAAGCATCATTTTGTTCTCTCTAACTATATTTTGTTCATCTGTTCCAGACCAGACGAAGGCATTCCAGATATTGCATAACCAAAGCAAACATGCAGCCCAGAAGCAGCCTTTTGCAATGATGTCTGTGACAGGATTTATCTTCTGTCACCTTCTTGCCCACCTGTCATTTTCAGCCAGGCCACTACAAATCCAATGAGCCTTTTTTAAGCCTCATGACACAGCGGGCAGATGTTGCTTTTGGTTTGAAAGAAAGATTAATTTCATGGTATGAAAGCACTTCAGTCAGAAAGCAAAGTTACTAAACAGTCAATATTTTAGCATGATTACTGCAATTATGAAAAAAACATTGACATCACACATTGCTCTACACTAAATTATTTCACTTACAGCATGAAATTTATTCTAAATAGAGCACTTTAAAAAAAAATCGTTTCTATAGCATGACACCTGTCACTCAAGCAAGAACTTCAGGTTCTCTACAGATTTGTGTTCAGGACCAGTTTTAACAGTACATTTAATTAAGCAGAAAGTCACTGCCTGGCTGGTGCATTAACACAGCTTCAGCAAAGCTGTCCCTTAAGCATAGCCCCTCCAAGTCTGAGCAGCAAAGTCACAGGTTAAATAATGTTCTTACCTCAGAATCAGACACAGGTAAAGGGTCTCCACATATGCAGTGACTGAGAAAGGAGCTCATGAGAGTCATTTTATGCTTTTGTTTCGCAAAGTCTCGTCCATAAGAGCTACAAATGTGAGCATACTCTCTGCATAACCAGTCAGGCAAAGTTCATACCATGATCCTGTACTTTTAGACTGAGGGAAGGACACATCACACGTCATCTCATAATCTGCTGCTTACACCCTTATCTTGAGCAATAACATTTGCAGAGGACTGCTTGCATTCTGCAGGACTCCACCTTCAGCAGTGATCCAAATGACAGCCACATTAATCTCTGCTGTCCAACAAACAATGCTGAAGGATGTGTGTTTTTAGTCTTAGATCTATAAACTGCACTGAATAATACTAAAAGAGAAAATAAAATCCTGTCACTGCAAAAAACCAGGGAAACCAGACTGATAATCTCACATTCCTCTAAGTGGCCTGCCCAAGGAGGACCTGATCAAGTGACCACTCACTAGCAGGAATAAAAATATCCAGTACACAACTCATAGGCTCCAGTACTGCGGTCACTTAAGCTGAAGTGTGATTCTTGACATCAAGAAAAAAATTCTGAGGAAACAATTGTACTCCACCTGTGACTGGCTTTATATTGGTGCACCACTGACCTCAAATTACCTTCTCCTAATGAATCTTTTATAAGTGAAAGCAGGTTGACATTGTGCAATTATTACTGGGAATATCTACAGATGTCTAGAGATACACATGGCACTTTACATAGGATGAAAATCAAAATCTCATGCACTGGCTCATGCATTTTAAGTGCTGGTCAAAAATTTCAAGGTATTTTGAGATTTCTGAGAAGTTAAAGTCTTAAGATTAATCCACATTGGATTTTCTGAAATTCATACCTGCTAGTCTAGCAACAGCACAGGATCACCAATACTAGCAATCAAGATTATTAATCTTGCCTTTTAGGCTGTATCCTCAGTTAGGTTTCTTCTGAGACTGCAAATGCAAACAGCTCTGCTTATTCCTGAAAGCAGTGTATCTACAAATACAACCATTTAAAATGAACATTTACTTAAATCCCGGTTACACTTATATTTGCTATTGTTCCCTTTTAACATGTCACTCTTAGCTGCAGATTCCCACATTTAAATTTTAATTCTGCAATGGAGCTGTCGGTACATTAACTAGATAATACAGCTGTCATCATAGCCAGGAGAAATCTAGGATGAAATTTTGTTGCCTGAACATAAGCACCCAGAGCCATTTCAAATGTCCAAAGGAATCTAAGATACCTCCACGCGCCACGCATCATGCAAATATGACACAGGACCTATGGGAGGTTTGGGCCATCCAGAAGCAGCCCCTGGGGACAAAGGGAAGCCTGTCAGGACATCTCCAGCAGTGCAGGGTCTTTTATGTTCCAGGAATCAAGTTGAACCCCTAAACAAGAGCATCAGTCAAGCCTATTGAGTGACCAGCCAGGCATTACTACAGGCAGGAACCAGGTGTCAAGCTGGATTGCAGGTAGGTTTAGATGGAACTACAACCACATTCCTCAGTGCTGCGAACAACCCTGCTTGGTCCACACATCCTGCTCCAGAAATGTGCAGTCTCACCACAGGGTGTTTTCCAGCTGTGTGCAGCTGTCCTTGATAGCTGCCCCTCACTTCACTTGACAGCTATTTTTAGTTGGGCTCAACTCCAGGTGCCACGTTCAGGTGTGCTGTTAATGCTGTGCTCCCCAGGACCCCCTGACCACACCCAACAGGCTACAGTGGGAGCTCTCCCAGGCTGCTCCCAGATAAACAAAGACACCACAGAGTCGATGCCCAGCCAGACCAAACCACTCCCATGCCTGGGCCCAGACTGATTTCCCAATCCAGGTACAGAAACTTCAAGGACTGGATCATGATCTCACTCAGCTCAACCTGGCACAGGTACAACCCTGTTCCATTTAATGGCACATGACTGCTATTGGTGTTCTCTGTTCTCATTAATAACCAAGGTAAGCAACATCAGCATCAGGTGTTTAATCACTGAAATCTTAGCTTAGTCTTTAAAGCCCAGTTCTCCAATATTAGTCAGACCACTATGTATTTTTGATAAATTCAGTGCTCAGAACTGATTTCAGAGGAAGTGCTCCCCAAGGAGCACAAGATCTAAATTCACAGTACTGATAAAGTGTTGCTTAGGATGCAACTTTTATCAGTGATATGGCAAAGAAATTGCCAGTACCTGAAATTGCATGGCAGGACTTTTGATGGTGCAGTTACACCAACCATGAATAACTCATTCTTTCATCCATTCTCCGCTGCAGAGAAAGCCCAAATTACAAGTCTGACCAAACAGATCCTGCTGCTAGTCAGCTTCCTGCTGTTGGGACACTTTTGAGGGCTGACACCAAGATAGCAAAGGAAAAACAAGCCCTGAGTGATTTTTTTTTTTTTTTTGGTCAACATGTTTAGCCAATAAACTTCCTAATTAAAATCCCCACTTTATAAAGCTCTTGATGACTGTGCACAGGCTCCCTGACCACTAATCTGCATTTCAACCCCTACTGTTACCTATTTGGATTTAAAAAATTTATCTTTTCGTTCAGAAAGCAATAAGGTTCCATAACATGCACATACATTCAAGTACAAAGGTATAAAGGGACATTTCCCTCCTGAAAGGTTTTCTCTACCTGATAATCTGCTCGGAAGTCACAAGTAGGTGCCTCTTGGACAAAGAACCCCAGCATTCCTCTTCTCCAGGGAAAAGAGCAAAAGGCAAAAGAGCATCTTGACTACACTTTTGCTTTTTGAATTTTTTTTTTTTTGGTTGGTTGTTTTGGTTTTTTGGGGTTTTTTTTGGCGGGGGGTGAGGGTTTTTTGTTTTCCTTAGCTACACAATAAGTTGCAATACTTCTTGTTCTGTTATCTCTGTATGTTTGAATTGCCTGGCTGAAATGTAATTTTGTGAACTAATACTTCCTTTTTCTAACCCAGAGAAA